TAAACCAGGAAGCCGAAGAGAGACAGGGCAAGGCTCTTGTCGACGCAGCTCTCAAGAACAATGTCAAGCACTTCGTCTACTCATCCGTTGATCGCGGTGGCGACTCTTCTTTTGACAGTCCCACGCCTATCCCTCATTTCATCAGCAAGCACAAGATCGAACATCATCTGGTCGAAAAGGCCAAGGGCAGCGGAATGACCTGGACCATTCTACGACCTGTTGCATTTCTCGAGAACTTCACCCCTGATTTCTTCGGCAAGGTCTTCGCCACCTGCTGGAAGAACACAGTCAAGGACAAGCCGCTCCAACTTATCTCGGTCGGCGACATCGGCTTCTTCGGAGCGCAGGCATTCATGTATCCGAACCAGTACCAAAACAGAGGTGTCTCTCTGGCTGGTGATGAGCTCACTTACGATGAGATGGCCAAGATCTTCAAGACTGAAACTGGAAAGTCTGTCCCAATGACGTTTGGCTTTGTTGGCAAGGGCCTGATGGCAATCATGAAGGACTTCGGCTACATGTTCCAGTGGTTCTATGATACGGGGTATGGAGCGAATATTTCGGAGCTGAGAAAGGTGCATCCTGAGTTGAAGGATTTCGGCACTTGGCTTGAGAAGGATAGCGGCTTTGGTACTAAATAGGGGGGCTGAGTCTCCCAAATTGTGCACTAATTATTGTCTGGTTTCTATTTGAATGTGTTTTTGTGTTTTTTTTTACTCGGACTTTTTTTGTATTTTGTATATGGCAGGACAATAGCGATTGATAGCAAATGGGCAACTTGATGTTACATCGGTCTAGCGGGAGGTAAGCGTATGTGCAATACCTGAAACTCAGGAAGCCCACGATCGTCTACGTAGTTAATAGATATCTGGAGTCACACTTCTTGCAGATCCCCCTGTAGCCTTTCAAGGATTATACAGAATGTCCGAAACCCGCAAAGTGGCGGCTTTGGCAGCCTGATGCAGAACAGTCGCGGGCTTTAGGGAAAGATACAGCAAATCTACCTATATCAATGTGAGCACAGAAAGTCAAGAATGGAAATTTTCCCTGAATGTAGCTACAACAGTTAGAATAGAAGGTATACAGGCTTACGCGCATTTAAATGCCTCACAGCCGGTTATAAGAGGAGAGTATCCTACTCGTGCTTGTTGAATTCATCAGGTTTTACAGAGCATATCTACCTACACGCGTTTCAGAAATTGGTTCTGGTTATATCAAAGAACGGAGATACTGGAAGTCTCCCGTCATCTTTTTAACTAAACCTAACGCTATCCAATGACAGTGTAGGCGCTCCAAGAAACGCAAACATGTCACCCACTACGCACTCGCAGCCTGAGGTGCCATCCTTCGTCCTCATCAAACAGCAGATTGACGCCTCGAGGACTTTGGAGGAGACAAAAATAAAGCCACTGGCGAATGGCAAAATATCTTCTCTAGTCCAATTTGTCCCCACAGACAGCCTTATGCTTGGCCTTGCCACTTTTCCGCCTTGAAGTGCTCGCAGGAGCCATTTGAAGCCCAGCATAGACACAAACAGGCCGAGTTCATTTTTTTTTTCCCCGGGGCAAGGAGCGTCAAGATTGAGGGCGTCGAGTATGAGGTCACTGGTGGGACACGCGTTGTTCATCCCAGGTGATGCTGAGCATGGCTTCCACAACACTAGCACCAAAGAGCTGTTGATATCCCTGTAGGGCTTTGGTATTAATGGATTTGGAGAGGTTGTGTACCGCTTTTCTCGTGAGCGAGATTCTTTAGCTGGTAATTTACGTCACAATAGTTCATTACAACTCTGAATTAAGTCTCATCGCCAGCACCGGAATTACGATACAGTACACTTGACCAACTTTAGAGCAAATAACAGAGAATAGAGTCTTTGAACCTCTCTTATTAAGAGATAGAGTGTCTACTATTCGGCTGTAGATGTAGTCGTGCCTATTCGCGAATAACTCCTGAATTATAACACCCAAGCTCGCAATTCTGTAAATCATGCCGACCGTTTGACAACACTTCTCTTTTGTACATAGAGGTTATTACCAATAACTGCATTACCACTACACAAAATTTCCCTCGGTGAAGTGTATCAGAATTGCAAATTGCCGTAAATTTCAAGTTAATGCATGCCCCCGCCGGAGCCACTGTCTTGAGTCACGCGGAGCAAGCACAAAAAACCCTATACCCCAAAAGGCTTGTTTCCCCGGAATTGCCAAGCTTTTTCTAAACTCCGGTGGAGCCCAGAGTGCCATTAATTTGCTCTTTTTGCCTACTACTTAGCCTCTGGAGCGTTGTAGTAAATGCACCCTTATAGGTTACGATCTATGTGAAACTAGGCCACGTGGAAGCACTAAGTGCAACGGAAAGAGGCCGAGAACAAGATATTAATAAATATTAATCTGTTTCATGTTGGTTTATATCTACCCTGTTCTGCCCTCCATTCTCCGCCCTTCATTAAGTTGAACGTGGCCACACTGCCACGACTAGCATACCACGGCCCGGCGGGGGAGTGTCGAAGTTCTCGGTCTCCGAAATGATATGTTCACCAAAAGACATGTTCTCAAAGCGAGATCTCGTGTTGTACATCGGAACCATCCGATCAAAAACGAACCTCCGGCGGCGGAGTTCCGTCAGCCCTATGCGGACTTCACACTTTATATAACCCACTCCCCCGCTATGCAAGAAAATGGGTCCGCGAAGCTTGAAGCTCCGAACAGGTTGATCACCACTCTTTGTATTTCGCTTTGATAACCCGGTCCACTTTTATCTCACATTCCTCCGCCAAACGACCATGGCCACAGAAAAGATCGTCCCGACCGATCGGGAGCTCCATAATATTGAGCTGAACAATCCCGATGTTATCGAGCTTACTCGTCAGGCAGAAGAGAGTGATGCGGCCGATCGGTTGTTGACGGTACGCCAGGCCTTGATCAAGTACAAGAAAGCAGTATTCTGGGCCATGTTCCTATCTACGAGTTTGATCATGGAAGGGTACGACTTCGTTATTGTTAGTATTTTCTCATGCTCCCCCAAAAGGTTACATTGCTAACACCTGGATTCCACAGATCACATCATTCTACGGCCAGTCGCAATTTATCAATCGCTTCGGAGTGGCAGATGCCGCTACTGGGGTCAAATCTATCCCTGCATCCTGGCAATCCGGTCTCTCTAACTCATCGGTCGTTGGTCAACTTGCCGGACTACTCGTCAATGCATACACCCAAGATCGTTTTGGCTGTCGGCCCACCATGATGTTCTTCATGTGTTGGATGATGGTCATGATCTTTATCCCTGTTTTCGCACCATCGTTGCCCATCTTGGCTTGGGGAGAGGCAATGTGTGGTGTTTCATGGGGTGTTTTCCAGGTAGGCCAGAATGAACAAAAGATCAAAGCTCTAGAACTACATGACACATCGAGCTGACGTCGCCATTCCTCAGACTCTGTCCACGACCTACGCATGCGAAGTCGTTCCCACCGTCCTTCGACCATACGTTACCGCCTATGTCTGCATGTGTTGGGGAGCTGGTATTCTCCTCTCCTCCGGTGTTGTCCGAGCTGTCGCAAGTGTGGACGGTGATCTTGGCTGGAGACTTCCATTTGCACTGCAATGGATCTGGCCAATTCCTCTATTCATTGGCGCATATTTCGCACCCGAATCACCCTGGAACGCAGTCAGACGTGGCCAATTTGATATCGCAAGAAAGAGTCTGTTGCGGCTTCATCAAGATACACCAGAGAAGGAACGCGAGGTAGATGCTACTCTTGCTTATATCAGGCACACCACGGAGTTGGAAAAGGCAGAGACTGCCAACGCGAGCTTTCTGGAATGTTTCAAGGGGCAAAATTTGCGGCGGACTGAAATTGTCTGTATACTCCCGTTCCCCCGACAGACTATATCACGTCGCTAACAAGGAGGGTCTTAAACAGAACTGTGTTGTATGGGCAGCTCAAATTCTCTGTGGAAATGCCCTCCTCGGATTCTCCGTTGTCTTCCTCGAGGCTGCAGGTTTCAGTGAACTTCAGGCCTTCGATGTCAACATTTCGCTTTCTGCGTGTTATATTATCGGCGGTATTATTTGTTGGCTTATCTTCCCCCACCTCGGTCGCGCAACCATCTATATGGGCGGCATGGCTTTCATGTTTGTCTGCCTTATGGTGATTGGTGGACTTGGCTGGGTCGACTCAAAGTCTGCGCAGATGGCCATCGGAGTGTTATTTGTGGTTTCCACTTTATGCAACATGATTACAGTGGGACCAGCTTGTTATCCCATTGTTGCCGAAACACCCTCTGGGAGACTAAGATACAAGACCATCGTCATCGGAAGATTCGTCTATAATCTTACTGGAATTGTTAATAATATCATCACGCCTCGCATGATATCCGCTACCGGTGAGTTCCATCATACCCTCATATATTCAATTCCCCTGAATACCGTTGGCTAATATAGCATATCCTATTCTCAGCCTGGAATTGGGGTGCTAAAGCTGGATTCTTCTATGCTGGAACGAACCTCCTTTGTAACATTTGGTGCTGGTTCCGCCTCCCAGAGACAAAGGATCGCACGTTTGGCGAGATTGACTTGCTCTTTGAGAATCGGGTTCCAGCAAGGAAATTCAAGTCAACTAAAGTTGAACGTAAGTAACTTGTGGTATCTGTTGACTGATTGCGGCGGAGCAAAATAGCTAACACAATTTGATAGAATTCGCTCTTCAAGCAGACATTAAGGTCAAGTCTGAATCAGCTGGTGGTCAGGCTGAACATGTGGAAAGGTTTGCCTGATGTTGTGCTCCTATCGTTTGTTGTTTAAGTCATGATTAATAAGTAATGGTTAAACAGATATCTTGAATACAGAACACTCAATAATAATATACAATTCTGATGAGTGGAGACAGAGAGAGGAGAGAGCGGAAAAGGGAGAAAGACACTGGGGGTGGAAACAAGGCTCTATCGAACATGATGGAGCAACTTGAACAAATTCAAGCTTCGCCTCTTTTCTTGGGGGAATGGCTATCGCAGTAGAACGGACTGGACGCCGTTTGCAAATAGCAACTTTGCATAGATATAATGAAACCACTCAAGAAGTTTCCCCACTGATGGCTGGTTCTTCTGAGGGTTGCAATGGAAGCCCTGTAGCTCGAGCTGCACCAGGGGCTTATCGTTCGCGGGCTGTAGTCGAGTTATCTGGAAACGGTGACAACCCGCAAACTCGAACTCATCTGACCCGAAGCCATAATCGACGTAGCTGGGACGCTTTTCTGATGATTCCAGGGGTATTTGCTTGTCCAGTACTTTAAATGAGCCGAAAAGACAGCTGCCCACAGGGGGCAGGTTGATATTAGAAAGCTCGGAAGTATTCCATATCATAGATGCGCTTGGATCATCCTTGAAGCCTATAGCACTAATATTAGCAACTGAACAAGCTAACCTAGACAGCTGCTCACCCGTATAACGCGCTGGTAACAACCTCCAACCCCCTACTCGCAGTGCAGTCCTTTCGAAGGCGAAGACAAAGCCACCGAAGAAACCACGACTAAACAGCGCTAGTACTTGCTCGTCGCTTAGTCCCGCTACCGCAGACTCTGGAAATACCTGGCTGACAGTATCCGTGCCCGCTACATGATGGCGTGGATTAACAAATTGAAAGGAGGATGACGCGAGAAATTCGGGTCGCACAGACACAGTAGATTGAGAAAGGCCAAGAGATTGAAAGAAGTAAGGACGAGGAAACCACCAGGAAGCCATGTTCGGGGAGAATATTATGTACTAAATCAGTTGAGGGTGTGTGTGTCCGCTCCGGGGAGAGATCGCCAATCGATGAGGGAGAAAAGTATGAATATTTGAATAAGGAGAATTACTGATTCTAGTTCTATTTAATACTCGGGCGAATAGCTGAACATGAGTCAGATTTGTTTGGACTCGATAAATAAACGGAAGGTTGTGGACCCGGTACGACCCGGAAGGAAGTGGATACCTTCAGGCGACTTAAAGTAGAGATACATAGGGGCCTCCAACAAAACCCAAATTCGCTTAATAGTATCAAGCTCGGTGTTAAGTAAATGTATTTAGATAGCAGGCTTAAGCCCCTCAACTGTCTCCATGTGGCAGGCTTCTGTTTTACTGTTTCGGTAGATGTGATCATATGCTGCTCGATCTCAGCAAACCGATCGGGACGCTTAGCAGAGGTAGTCTCAGCGCTGCTATTGATAAGTAGACATGGATTTTCGTAAATGAATTGGTCGATATCTTCCAACGAACGATTCGCGGTCTCCGGGTAGAAAAGGAAAACAATAAGCACAAATGAAAATTTGTATATGCAAGTATATAGACAGGATAAAGTCTGCCGGGTGGGGCCTTTCCTATCTAGGCTGCCGCCGCTTTATAAGGGCGCTCATGCTCAGGATCACTGAGTAGACGTTAGTACGGGCTCAGGCTCAGTGATCACGCTCAGTCCTATCACGTGACCGATGACTAATGCTTAGTGATTGCTCAGTTACGCTCAGTGATTGCTCAGTGATTGCTCAGTCGTGCTCAATGTCGGCTCAGTGAGTGCTCAGTGAGTGCTTAGGCGTCCTAGGTGATTCCTTACTAAGCCTTACGTGAGCACCCTCTAATTTGGCTAGCACAAAATAGACTATACTCAAAATAGACTATACTCAAAATAGACTATACTCAAAATAGACTATACTCAAAATAGACTATACTCAAAATAGACGGACCCCATAGGGGTTCCACTCCGGTGCTTCCTCGTGTTTGCCGGAATAGACATTCCTTTTGCAGTCTCCACTCTTATTTACGATGTGCAAAATCAGAACGTGTACTAGGACGATGATTTGTATAAATAATTAATAATTAGAGGAAGAAACGAACTAAGGGAAGTACAGCTGAGCGGACTTTCGCAAGAGGTGAGCTCGTAGCACTCCGATAGAACTGGCGGGCGAACACCATGACATTTTTCCATTACTGTTTGTAGTATGTGACTACTGGCAATACGTCGAATGTCGTAGAATGACTTGTCCTAGGCGTGGCTCGGTTCTTTCCTCGGTTTCACTCTTACCTTCCTCAGCAAGTTCAGATACAAACAAACCGGGTGAGGTTTGACAGGAAAATTGAGGTACATATAAACGGGTGACTAGGCTAAGGAGAACCCAACCTTGAAATTCAAGATAGCCACTATGATACTCATCAGCGTCCACGGGTGGTCTAAAGAAAGACTAACGCATCTCACGTAGCTTAAGAAACCGAAGCAGACCCCGAGGTAGTCAAGTTCCGAGTGTACATACCGATGGCTTAGAATCTCCATCACCATTCGAAACGGCGATATCTTTAAGCAAACGAGAATAAAGTTATAGTTATATTTACGGCCAGATGTCGAGATTAATTCCGAAGCTTAATTCACACTTAAAAGCTACACAGCCTTCATACAGAATGTTGGTAGAATAGCCAGCAGCTTAATGGCGACATTGCCAGTCATCTCTCTAATTGCCTTCTCTCTAAATTAAAAGGGACTGAAGTATATCCTGCGACTGATTACTGAAGACAAAGATGTCCCACCTCGGGCCGAATCGTGACCAGACGGCATTCCGGTTCTTCGACCTGGGCTCCCAAACCCCAAGTCTCGTTTAGCCCACGGCTCGGCCCAACACAGGTCGTTCCCCAGGCCTCGGAGATATTTGAAAGCATTCATCTTGATAAAGTCTCCGCTATGGTGGTTCGCATTCTATCATGAGATCCTTAGATCCACTGTCTCTGAGGTCATAGCTAGATGACAAATTACATAGTTCTCTCATCATGAAAACCCTCTGATCAGAAGTTTCAAACGCAAAGAGAACTTACAATTGAAATTCAGCCTTAAAAGATCGGTAATTTTTTCACTATAATCAGGTCCTCATCCTTTTCACTCACTACACTTTATCTTCTCTATTCACCATGGCCAGTCACAGAATCGGCGTCTTTCCTGCCTCGGGAGGCATTGGCGGTGGCACTGTCAAGCATCTTCTCCCTCGCCATCCTGCTAAAGACCTCGTCTTTATCGCTCGCAACCCTGCCAACTTAGACTTTGCGGCAGCTGCCGGAGCAACTGTCCGAAAGGCTGATTACGACTTCAACGCGAATCTGGAGCATGCTTTTGAAGATATCGACACATTGTTCCTCATTTCGTATGCTTCAGTCGAAGTGGAGCACCGTGCCGAGGTAAGTGTTTTGAGTCAGTGATCAATTATCACTAACTATCAGCGCTGCAGCGTCACCGAACTGCGATCGACTTCGCTATCCGTGCCGGTGTAAAATACATCTTTTACGGATCTCTAGGATTCGCCGGCCGCGAAGATAACAAAAAATCAGTGGCCTATGTGATGCAGCCCTATTTGATGACCGAGAAGTATCTCGAAGAGTGCGTCCGCTAGCATCCCGGGTTTGCATACACAGTTATACGCGAAGGTCTTTACTCCGAGTCGTACAACCTTTACACCGCCTTCTTTGATCCTCGCAACCTAGTTGATGAGATCGAGATTGCGCATAATGGGTCTGGCCCTGGCATTGCCTGGGTCAAACGCGAGAAATTGGGAGAAGGCACCGCCGAGCTCCTAAGACGCTTCGCCGAGAACCTAAAGGAGTTCAAATTCCGCAACAAAACTGTTCTTCTCTCTGGTACCAAGGTCTTGACTCTTCAAGAGACGGTCGATATCCTGGTTAAGCTTGTGAAGAAGCCGGTGACGATCCGCCAGGTCTCCGATGAAGAGTTTGGAAGGCAGCCTAAGGTCGGCCCAAACTTCACCTACCGTGGTGTTGACTACGGCACAGCCTGGGCAAGCGCTTTTGAAGCATTCCGCCTAGGAGAAGCTAGTGCTGCATCTCCTCTCTTGCGTGAACTGCTGGGCCGCGAGCCGGAAGACTTTGAAACCACCATCTCCTCGCTCCTCTAGTTTGGTATGCATGCTCGGAATGGATGGATGGACAGTTAAAAGTTTTTCGCAAAAGTATATAGAACCTGTCTCATCAAGCCTGCATTCACATGCAGTGCAGGCTTTTTTTAAGTAGAGTATACCGAGTTTCTCTCTTGAGGCTCAATATTCCGATTCACAAATCACAAACTAGAAGCATGAAGCATGTTGATACTTTTATTCAATTCTATTCTCAAACCATGGCGCCTTCTATTATTCAATGAGCACGGTGAAATATAGCAATCAACGTAATCTATCAGACATGAAAGCAAATGCACAAAACTCATAGATAATGGGCACTTCAGCCTTGCTCTATTGATATAGAAAAACGTTCCACCTTGCCTAGAATTTTACATTTGGGCAAATCATTCTATCAGAGCGATGAATCACGTGCCACAAATCTTTGGCCCTGTGGAGAACGAGAAAAGTCCCCGAGGTATTCAAGTCGCCGTCTCGGATAGTCGAGGATCCCGTGCCGTTCAAATGTATAGAGAAAACACACTGGTCCGGGGCCAAAACGGCAAACTTGGTGCTGCCGAGTTAATGGCCTTATTGATGTCAGCAATAACTCCAATACGGTGGACCTATTTTTTTTTCACTTTCTTGATAAATCACAGATTTTAAACTTCGATTTACCCGACTCCTCTTTTACATAGCAAAAGACAGTGGGTTATTATCCTTGTCTTCTGTAACACTTGAAGTTATTTTTATTTTTATTTTTGAAGCGCAGCTCAGTATGAGTCCAGGAAAAGTCTCGAGCGAAAATGGTCAATGGCTTGCCCGTCGTTACGAATATGGACAAGAGCACCCCGAATGGGAGGAGGTAGGAGCCCAAACAAGCTGAGTCCAAACACGCTGATTAGAGACACATTTAAGCGAGCTAACAGCACTCAGTTTTACTTCAAGAACAAAGCTTCTGTTCCGACGCTAGTTGGGAATGTCAAAAGCTTACGTGAAATCATGTTGAATGTCAAAATGGGTGGACAAAACAAGGCGGTGCCGATTACCAAGGGTCTGGTTGTCAATGATCAGGTTATTTCCTCGGAAGATGGTGTAGAAATAAAACTACGGATTTATACACCATTTCCCCCGAGTGAAGGATTACCTATTATGATATAGTGAGTCTTTTCCTCCGTTTTCACTCGCTATTAATGCGGAAACTGACCTCTGATCAGCTTTCATGGAGGAGGCTGGGCGTTAGGAGACCTCGAGGGCGAAGATCGAACCTGCAGAGGCATTTGTGTGAGCACTAGAATGGTTGTTGTGGGCGTAAACTACAGGCTGTATGAAAGCATTCTGTCTATCTGTCTGCTCCTTGGGACTACGCTAATTCAAGAAAGTGCACCCGAGCACCCATATCCTGCTGCTCTAAATGATGCATGGGCCACATTGGAATGGGTATTGAATAAGTGGACAATCCTTTGGTGTCTCACACTAATCTGTCTTTTTGAACCAGGTTCTCGCCAATCAAGCTACACACAAGGCCAACGTCAACAAGATCCTTGTTGGCGGTACAAGTGCAGGTGCAAACTTGGTATTTTTGACTACAACCGGTGACAAAGATATTGGAAATGGCTAATACTCTTATAAAGGCAGCAGTCATATGCCATCAGGCAAAAGCTCGGGGTGTAACTATCCGTGGCCAACTTCTTCGCATTCCTATTGTGTGCCAAAGCACTCCTCACTATCGCGATCTTGGGCTTGAGAGCATGAATTACTACCATGATACCCCAATTCTGTGTCGGCAATCTATGGTACAGTTTCTTGAATGGTATAGCCCACCCGATGCCGCGGACATGTCGGTCTCTCCCCTCCTCGCTATGGATTTCACGGATCTGCCACCGGCATATATTCAGGTTTGTGGCCGGGACCCGTTGAGAGATGAGGGTTTGGCATATGCGGACAAACTCGAGGAATATGGGTAGGCTTTATCTTGCAAAATGACTTATTCTGCTTTGCGCTAACGAGACCTCAAAACAGCGTTCCTGTCAGGGTAAATGTCTATCAGGGACTGCCGCATGCCTTCTGGATTTTCCCGGAGATATCAACGTCGGGACAAGCTGCGCAAGAGTTGCTGGATGGCATTGACTGGCTTTTGAAAGAAATATCGGACTAGAGTAAATACTCACAGAACGCTAGAGATATATTATTGATGGCAATGGATACACTCTTCTGACTGTTATGAAGCTATTGTGCAACATCTGTCTTTGTTGGTAATACATGTAGGCTGCCAGAGGAAACTGGAGCACTTGCGTGCGGATACATGTATACCTGTCACGAACACGCTTTGGATTAGACTTGCTAAAGCCTGGTCCGTCGTAGTGTTAGTTTTTAATAGACGGGAGCAACACATCCGTAGGTATCTCTTGTTACCGAGTCTCCGAGCTCTTCTTTTTACCAGAAAAAAGGTCAGAAGTTTATGATCGGCAGGTAAAAAGACGATAAATTCTATATCTTGATCTAGAGACACATCGTCAACATGGTGTCATCATAGAACGCCGTCTCGAAAATTGAGCCTAAAGACTTGAAAGTGGGAGAACTTGGATGCATATGGCTTCTTTAGATGTTCTGCGACTAATTCAAAGCTCTTCCACCATCTACTGGCAGCTCCACCCCGGTTATGAAATTAGCCTCGTCGCTGGCAAGGAAGCATGCTGCATTCGCGATATCCGCAGGTGTTGCAAATCGCCCAAGTGGAATACCAGACAATATCTTCGCGCGATTTTCGGGCGTATCGGGCTTTCCAAGGACCAATGGAATCCTGTCAAGTTCAGGATTATCATTAGTGATTGTCAATTGATAAGGAGGCAAAGACTTACATTGCAGTCTCTCCAGCCACGGGGCATATGGCATTGCATCTGATATTATCTTGGGCCAACTCCGCTGCTAGTCCCTTGGTGGCCTGGATTAACAAAAAGATCCGAAAATTAGCACAAGCCAATACAGATCGTGAACACCTGTCAAGTGATCAAACATACCGCACTGGCAGCGCCCTTGGTAGCTGCGTACCATACAAGATTCGGGCGAGGACGAAGAGCACTCATGCTAGAGATATTGATAAAAGCACCACCAGTACTTTGCTTCTGAATACATGGAGCAATCACTCTGGCACTGAAGTAAAGGCTTTTGATGTTGACTCTGCAAAGACGATCAAATTCTTTTTCAGTAAGTTCGAGAGATGACTGCTCATGCGTTAGTAAAATTCTATGTAAATTGTAGGCCATACATACAATCGCGCTGTTAACAATCCCTGCGTTGTTCACCACAATGTCGATCTTCCCAAACCGAGAAAGTGTCGTGTCGCGCACCTTTTCCCAATCTTGTTCGGAGGACACATCGCCCTGAACAAATATGGCCGTTCCCCGGGGCTGTGATGCGAGAACTCGCTCTCCATTCTCTTTATGCAGATCGACAATAACAACTAATGCGCCCTCCTGGACGAATTTGATCACAATGCCTTCGCCAAATCCAAGAGCGCCCCCAGTGACAATAGCAACCTTGCCGTTAAGCCTTCCGGACATTTTATAAGATAGGTGTGAAGGAACAATGATGAGAACCATAGGAATTCTTGCGAATAGGTTGGAAACAAAGCGATTCTGTAGACGTGGTGATATATCACAAAAAAGGGAAACCGGAGAAAGTGCGGGGATGTTCGCTTTTTAGCAAGTCGCCGACTACCATATTCGGGCCGATCTGACTACCAATGCTCATGTCGTGCAGAACATACGTACCTGAGTACTCTCATAGACAATAGATTTTATCGAGTTTGCAGATCGCCCAGTGGGAAACATGATCTTCTTGTAAAAGCTTTATATTCCATGGAAGGTCGATATGCTAGAATCTCTAAGTGACTTGCAGTTGCCTTGACTTAGATGAGTTGGCACTAGCAGCGTTATCTTAAGATGGCATGTCTATGAGCTCCCTTTTAATCTGTTGTGCTTTGTTTCGAGGGTGAGTTTTCTGATATCATCCGGCAAGCTCGTGCTTTAGAAACTCGCGGCCTCAGCTTGTCCAGACTTCTCAATGCTCTTCTGTTTTCTGCCAAAGTTTGATTTCAAACCATGTTTTCTGGCATTTTATAAAGCACTGACTATTCTTTTTTTTACTTTTTTTGTTTCTCTGGCAAGGGGGTTCAAAATGTCGATCTTCATCAAATAACGCAACGACCAATTGATTCCACTAGAATATCGAAACAAGCACAATTCGACAACCACTGGCTTTCACCTCAGTGCCCCCATTACTAAAGGTGTGGTTTAATCACAAATTGATCTTCCGGTTTTCAAGTACCGAGGTATGCGACCACTTCTAGTTTCCCTCCGACCGCTCTGTGTTAACCTCAATATGAATTTCATCTCCCATACTCTTCTCCGAGAGGATCTTTTGGTCCAAAAGCTCTCTCTCCTCCATTGTAAGCTGCGTTAGCTGTACAGCCACGTCATCGCCAAATAGCTCGCCGATCTCTTCCAGACTGAGTCCCTTTGTCTCAGGGAACAGCCGCCAAACCACGAAGATATTGACCAAAGTGAGGACAAGGAATACCACGTAGTACTTCCATCCAATATGGGCAAATGCGGTTGGAGCAGCTTCCAGATATACCAGGGCTGTAAGGAAAAGAATAGAAAGGGAAAACGCGACTCCACGGGCACGAATGTGACTCGGAAAGATTTCGCTGCAGTAGACGTAGGTTGTAGCGTCGACACAACAGCCATAGCTATACAATAAAAGTAATTTGTCAGTAAATTATAGCCGTCTGAAGAAAATAACTCATTGAACTCACAAGAAAATGTAGATGAAGAGGAAGAAGACGCCTGCTCTCAAGCCAGCCTTATTTGTGGACCCAGTATATCTTGCGACCATCACTGTCTCAAAGATCAAACTAATCAAACAGCCACTAAACCCAATCACTGAAAGAACAGGGAAGAATTTGTTAGCAATTTTGTGTACCGGAGTCAATGTGATGTTACTCACGGAACAGCTTGACCCGTCCCACACGGTCAACCAAAATCGAAGAAATGTAATTTCCTGCGCAGGCCACGCTAACATATAGAGCAGACAACAAGAGAGATATCTTGTTATCAAACCCAAGACCTTGGTAGAGGAGAACAGAGTAATCTGTTGCATTCGCACATTAATAACTATCGCAGAGAGGTGGCGCGATGCGGAACTCACTGTACACCACCAGAATCCCGGTAGATTCAGACGCGAACATTGTGAAGAATGCACAAAGAATTCTCTTCCGGTACGAGGGCTTCGTGAAAAGAGTACCAAAGCTCTCACCAGATGCCGTAGCCTTGTCGGCAACGGCTTGTTGCTTCATTTGATAAAATTCCTCCCGCGCGAAGGAGGCAGCGGCCGAGGTAGTGTCATTTTGACTAACCCCGTGCAGTTTGATAATTACTGACCAGGCATCATCCATACGATCATTCATAATCACTGTGGCTTGGTCAGAATTTTGTACAATCGCGGCTGATCACAGAACTTACACCAGCGAGGAGATTCGGGAATCCACGGAGTCAGAATCAGCATAAGCAAAGGCCAAAGACATTGCTCAGCAAGCGGGAATCGCCATTGAAAAGAGAGATTGGTCGAGAAGAAACAGGCAAACCCGGTCCAAGCGGCAAGAGAATAACCCAGGACGAGGACAACGCCTGAGACTTGTTAGAAAATTCCTGGTCATTATTCAGAAAGAACCTACCATGTTGAGAAACTAGAAATCCACGTGCTGCTGGAGGTGCGATTTCTGCCTGGAATAGAGGGATCAACACAATGAGAATACCTAGGATCATACAATTAGTGAAGGTATTGGATTGAAATGGTTTGCAATACCTACCAACGGCAAACCCTCCTATGAACCGCCCAATAAGGAACATGCCGATGTGCACCGCACCGGCTTGAAGTGCGCCACCCAGTATTGCAAGAGGAGAAGCAATCCATAGTGAGTTCTTTCGCCCCATCGCATCACAAGACCATCCGATAAATATCGACCCAAGAAAACCACCAGCACAGAAAAGACCGTTCATGGTGCCCGTAATTGCTTGAGTGTATGAATACTTAGGACCAGTAGCTTCCGAAGAGAGGTCGAAGAAGAGGTACCATCCTGGTTGCCCAAGGGTGGTGGATGTGATGCTGAAGGTATACCCATATGTCAGGCTGCCCAGCGTCAGGGCGAGCACAACCTGCGGGAATTAGTACTTATGTCCAGCGGTAAGTCATCAATACTCACTGCAAGGTTGAAAAGCGAGATTTTGCGCCCAGGAACCTCCGTATGATGCCCCATTACGATTTTTGTTGTGCTATTCTCCGGGGTATTTGGACAATTGAGAGATATTTCACGAACAAGGATCTTAACTAGCTGCAGTAGCGTTTCCTTAGACCAGAAAAAGTCTACAAAATATACGACCTCGCTTATATACCCCAGAGACTGCTGAGCTTCTAGCTTAGCTTTCCCCGCATTGGAAGATCCAATCCGGAGATGCGCTACCCACCCAAGAGCAAGTCGGCTATGTTTAAACTTAAATACCTGTAGTTCATGCAACGTGAGCTACAGCTAACCACATTTTACGCAATTAAGGTTAAATCAGCCCTAAAATTGGGTTAAGTTGAACCTCGGCGATGCATGAGTCTCTCGAAGATCCCGTTTATATGGTCGAAACGTCGAATCACGAACGAGATGAAGTCATGACCTCGCATTTAAGATTTCCAAATCTTTCCCAAATATGAGAATGCAACGATCTACGCCAAGGAAGGCATTATTTGCGTCTGATTCCTATCCCTTTGTCCGCTATTTGCCCCTTGTTTCTCGGGATCTCGGGGTCTTGCTCATAGGATCTAAGTTATGCCTTGTGTTGATAGATCACATTCCTCACTTGAACGTAAAAGTTGTTTCTCACATGCGGTCACTTGTGCAGGCTGCCTGGAACTACCTTATGCATCGCTATTCATCCCCCAAGTATGGATACCCTGAAAAAGAGGGCCCTATTTCAATAAGTATGATGCTAAAGAGACACCCCTTTGGCTAGAAAGACACCCCCCTCTACCTATCTAACCGCATTAGGTAAGGCGTGGTAATTGTATTTCACTAATTGCTTCAACTTAGTATTTCAATCCTAACACTCAAAATTGAGTGAGCCTAAGACCGGGCGACAGGATGGGATGCCGTAAGTGGGATCCCCCCACCCCCGCCCCCGCCCGGGGACCGGTGGAATTTTGGAATACTATAATGCAAGGTGACTAACAATCAACTAAGCTCTGAGATGTATAAATTAGTGAAATACAATTACTACGCCCTCCCTATCATGGTAAGGCGTGTGGAGGGGGGTGTCTCTCTAGCCAAAGGGGGTGTCTCTTTAGCATCATACTTCAATAACTGCTTGTTGAGACAGCTGTGCCTAGATGTCAGCCCTAATCCAGGCCGTAGCTAGGTTAAGTCTCAGTCATTAGGCCAGGAAGTCATTCATCCTTATTCTCTCTCATCTCCTGATAATATGAGACTATTGAAAGCGCAGGGGAAAGCTGACACTATAGTGCAAGGATACGCAAGGAGGCCGAAGAAATATAGACAGACGATGCATTCAAATATGGAGAGAACTAAGACCAAAAACTAGGTCTGCTATTGAGGTCTGACATCCCAGAACATTCCCTGGCAGCATTATCGCCTCATGCTGAACTATAAGCGTCCTCAACTCTGTATATAGCAAAGAAGCAAGAAGAGACAGACCAACGGTCTAAGAATATCTTAGAAAATTGCTAGTGAGTTGGCCAAGCTTGCAATGCCACCTAGAAACCGCGTTAATTGATTCTCGTCAAGCTTCTGGCTCTGTAGATTTATTCTCACCTGGAGTATTAAACGGTGCACTAGTGAAGAAGAATGTCCACCTATTTCTTTTCTCGCACGCTTTCGACAATTCCTGGTCATATTAAAGATCAGTTATCAATTCATAGACAAAGATATTTGGAGAGAAGTACGTACCTCAAGATCAAACATCTCTCCAATCAAACATCCCCAGAGGCTGAGGAGGTACTCATGAAGATACCATTCTGTCTTGCGGGGCCAAGCTTCAAATGCAGGAGCATCTCCACCAACAGCCGCAAAGTAACTTGAGTGATTTATTAGAACCCAGGAGTAAGTTAAAAGGTCAATGTAGTTAACTCACTTGTCATGCAAGAATGTTTTCATTTCCTCGCTTTGTTCGACGCCCGCGTAAGACGGGTTGTGGGCGAGATCTTCGAGCTTGGCTGGATTCTCCTTTTGCATTTCGTAGTATCGGGAAACGTAGCCACTGCGTACCAGTAGGATATCACCCGGCTGGAACTTCACTCCTTGTTCTTTGGCAACTTGCTCCAGCTCAGAGACAGGAATGGCATAGCCGCTGAAAGGGTCATATGGACGCCCGTGCTTCTTCGCCCATGCGTAATGATCGAGCAAGACTCCACGTGTTGCTATTCCATGCTGAGCAATGGCTTGAATTCCACATCGCGTGCCTGGATGAGAAGGGCAATGTTAGATCTACAGTTCAACATCTCGCCGCAATCAATTGCAAGGTGGGCTAACCCGATTGGACCTCCTGAGGATCGAGATTGTTGTATAGCTTCTGGATTCCCAGATGGCCGAAGTGTCTGAAGCCATCCCACTGGCTGCCAGATTGTGTGTTCATGTCATAAAAATCATCAAAGATACAAGGACTAATCGGGTGGGGGGCGATCTTATGCTCGAAAGCCGTGCGATGAAACGATGGATGCTCGGGATAGCGCAAAGACCAGCTACAAATACATGTTAGCATTTATTTGATAGTGAGGATTACACATATCTGACTTGAGTGGTACGACTTGGCCGTCCATCATCTCGTTGTCTTTCGCAGCGTTGGTAACTTCTGCGGTCAGGAGGTTGATACGACCGAGCTAGGCAGAAAGAACTAGTTAGTCCTTTCAAGGGGCTTCCATTTGAATCACGGAAAGTCGCACTTCATCATCCTTTCCCCAAATCCAAGCGGTCTCTGGGGGCACATCTTTGCCTGCATTGAAGGTTTTTAATTCCTCTAACGTGGGCAAGCCACGGGGAAACAATTTCTTTGCGTGTTCCATGTTTTAGATGTAAAATTATAAGATTCCTCAAGTATGGTGTTTAAGAAAGACATCCAAATTCAGGATCTGAAAATATTGGTGTCCGTGGCCCTTTAAAAGGCTCCCTAGCGTCACCCGGGGTCTGGGGTCCGGGGTATGGCATCGAAAATAAAGGCTAGAAAAGAGACCGAGATTAAAATCCACCACTTTGTTTCGTCTGTTCGGCTTATTCCGTGATATACCCTTTTTAACGGAACGTCAAGTCGGCGTTTTCGATTCCCGACTGAATTCCCGACCCAATCATCATGCTAACTTCCGTTCTTAAAGCACTATTGTCTCAAGTTTTCGCTTTTGAGAATTTACAGCACTGCTAAACTACCAAATTCAAAATGTCGGCGAATCAAAATCAAGTTACTCTTATTGGTCTGGGCACCATCGGCATCTCGATGGCCGCCTTACACTTGCGAGATCCTAATTCCACCATTCATTTGTTTGATGTGCGCTCGGATATTGAACAACACATCTTGGCGCATCTCCCTGCATTTCTTGAATCAGTCTGCCCAGGCACTTCAGTGGAGTCACTCATATCCTCTGGGCGCATCAAGATCCACACGACTATAGAGACCGCCTGTTCGGAGGCAACTATCATCCAAGAACAAGGACCGGAGAACGTATCATTCAAAAAGTCTCTATGGGCTCAAGTTGAGAGTATTGCTCCGCCCTACGCGCATTTCTGGAGCAGCACGTCTGGAATTCCCACATCGGAACAGACTGCAGACATGCAAGATAAATCCCGTCTGCTTGTCGTACATCCATTCAACCCACCACACATCATGCCGTTGCTGGAAATAGTACCGAGCCCCAACACGAACCAGGATGAGGTTGACTTTGCGTGCACCTACTTCCGTCAAGTTAGCCCCCGGCATTGCCCAGTCGTCATCAAGAAGGAAATCTGTGGTTTCGTGGGCAACAGGTTGGCATTTGCGGTTCTCAGAGAAGCCTGTTATCTTGTGGAGCAGAAGGTCGTTTCTGTCAAGGATCTAGATCAGATCATGATGTCCAGCTTGGGTCCGAGGTGGGCGCTGAATGGAGTGTTTGAAAGTTATAATTCTGGGGGAGGAGTGGATGGCTTCCGTGGATTCCTGAACAAGTTGGAAGCAACTGTACAGGGAGTATGGAATGATTTGGGTGTCATGAGCATGACAGGCGATGACTCTCACTGGAAGGAATATGTCATTTCCCAGACCGAACAAACTTATGGGCCGTCGAGCTTGGGGCAAACCAGGGAAAAAGAGGAGAAACTGCGGGAAGTGCAACGAATTCAGACTTCTAACCCTTGACCGGTGTATACATTTATAGCCGAATCATAGATTTCCTAGCTATAGATTCCGAGTTCACAGAGCTCCAAATGTACCGATCTGCCACCATCTCAAGGGTATTTCCATCGCTTCAGGTATTTTGTATTCTCAAATCTCTGGAAAGGCTGTGCTATGTCGCTCTTGATTTCGCTATGGCAGGGCTTTCAATGTATTTTTACTGGAGTTGTTCCAACAGACTTCTCGTTTTATGGGTCGCAATTCCTTTTCTTAATATCACACTGCCTATTAATCACAAACTTCAAGTGCGGATCTGCAGACCTTTCTACTGGAATAATGAACAGTAAAATATAGTACCAGATGAGAATTATTTCAAGTAATAATTGGTAACGTGAAACACAACAGCTTCAAAGAAAGCGGAAGCCTATTGATAAGCACAGCCACCCGCGTTCAATCCATTTTAATCAGTTGGTAACCTTATAAATCTCATACTCCACAGCTTCCTCTTTTCCTTCGACGACAAAACGACCCTGTCCAACAAACAAAGAAGTCTCCATCCATTTGAGCTTCGGATCACTCGTCTCAACAATTGGACCCGAGAACCACTCCTGGTCTCCATAGTTGGTAGACTTGGCGTCAGGCGCCCATGACAGAACCTTGCTACCCGCTTCATTTATCTTTAGAATGCCATTGTAGTGAACATACAAGCCGTGTCCATCGGGAGTGCGAGCTTGAATTCTGACGTTGAGGTGGCAAACGTTTGTCGAGGGGTCAAGCTGTACAAATGTGGTTAAGACCAGACTCGTGAAGGAAGTAATTGCAGGAGTCCCATACCAGGATCCAATCTCCACTGCCAGGCAAAACGTCGGCCTGTACTTCAGGACCTTTCACAAAGCCGTGGGTTATGGGAACAACGATTCGCGAAGGACCGTTCTTTATTTCACTGAGAGTAACACTGTTCTCATTCGACATATATCCTCTCATGGTACAGCATAGCTCAAGCTTGGGCGCCATTGTAGTTTTTCAGAAATGCAGTATAGAAGATGGGTTGACTGTAAAGTTACCGACGAAGATGCAGAAACTACCACGATGATAATTGGGATGTGTTCAATAACCCGAGTTCCTCCAGGGTCTATATACTAACCTTAAGACTTGCAAGTCAGCACAAGTCCCCTCGGCTTCAGTGGCCAGAAATCCCGGACGCTGACGTGGGGACCCCAGAAAATCCGATTCGCCGATGCGGGGATAGACCTCTAAACGGCGAGGTCTCTCGACTTATTTCTAGCTTTGGTAGCAACCGAATATGCAATGCCATCTCGACCTTGTATGCTCTAGTCATAAGCAACGATACGCGCTGGGAACCATACTCACCTTCCACCTTATCAACCCCTTTTCGTCAAATCCAATATGACTTCCAACTATATCCAGGAGGTGTTTTCGCTGAACGGCAAGTTTGCCATCCTCACCGGTGCCACCGGGGGACTTGGATCAGCAATGGCGATCGCACTGGCCAAGGCCGGTGCTTCTATCGTCTCGATCGAACTTCCAAATGATCCCAACTCCGCCAGTCTCGCCCAGGCCGTCAGTGATGCAGGTAGCACCTTCCAGCCCTTTTATTGTGATCTTGGAAACGCAGAAGAGCTACGCAGCTGTTTCTCAAGCATCTGGGCTGCTGGAATCGTTCCAGACATTCTGGTCAATAGCGCAGGTGTGATGCGTCGCAATGCGTGCGAGGACGCAACTGACGAGGAGCTCAACTTGGTAAAAGCTTTGATCAGTTTCTTTGCCAATATCCTTTAAGCTAACCGGTTCTAGATCCTCGATATCAACGTCAAGTCTTTCTATATCTCATGCCAAGAGTTTGGCCGTAGACTCCTGTCTCTGAATCGACCTGGAAAGGTTATCAACATTGCCTCAGTCACTGCATTCCAAGCAAACAAAAACACCAGCATCTACTCTACGTCCAAGGGTGCAATTATCCAAATGACCAAGGCTTTCAGTAATGAATGGTCAAGCAAGGGTATTCAGGTCAATGCCATATCCCCAGGGTAAAAAGTCCTCCCGTCGCGAAAGCGATCCCTGATTCTAACTGAATCACTGCAGATTTATGACAACCCCAATGACTGAGGCTTATTCAAAGGATACTGTCATCACATCTTATTTGATGAGCAGAGTTCCAATGGCTCGATGGGGAGCAGCGACCGAGTTAAACTCTGCTGTACTCTTCCTTGCCGCGCCCGGAAATACCTTTACAACTGGAATATCCGTGGCAGTGGATGGAGGTTTCTGTGGGAAGTGATCATCTCTTGTCGGCTCTTATTCTGAAATACGGAGATTATGAGCGGCCTTAGTGATGCATAGTTTGGAGCTGTTTCTGCACATAGTGTAGTTTCTTGAATGAACTCTTTTTCACATACGCGTCGGACATAGAAACTGTACCTGTAACTCGTCCTTTCAACGAGTTTCAATTTCAGCCAGATACATACTGAACCCGATCCATGTCAGCGAGGAAAGACTAGACATATGATATGATCAATGAGTGGGTTTAGAAAAACCCGGTTATAGCACTGCCTCTCGGCAGCTTGGGCTAGGATGATTAAGCATGTACAATTGTTAAGCGCAGAACCCAGAGACAGGCGGAAGTATATTCTATTCACTTTGAGAAGAACAGGGACTAAGGAGTAGGCTGCCTACTGAAGCCTGACATCCCAGACATACATGCACTGACCATAATTCTTCGCAACGGTATTTACTTTAGCTATGCTCGATCTGCAATTAGTATACGGAACAGTGCTCCTGTCATAGAATGAAGACGGCAGACATATACAAAGACTGGCTGCATTTCCAAAAAGCAATAATTGATCGAGATTCACTCCCAGAAGCTCTTTTCCTTCATATACTTCGTCGCCACACCCTTGTCATGTCCAAATATGAGCTTCGCGTTGAACAATCTTTGAAGTCTGCGGACCAAATGCAGACTCCGATACCAAGCAGCATGATCGCGAGCGAAACCACCTTGCGGATGTCCGAGCTCATAGTTCTCGACAATATGGAACTGATCGGTGGTCCAAATAAAAGTACCATCCTTCTCAAGGTTAATCTGAAGCATACACAAGCCGGGACTATGTCCAGGGGCGTGGTGGAGTGTCAGTCCCTGAAAGATCTCTAGGGTCGAATCAGGGAATGTTGTCCAGTTTAGTTTCTCAAGAAGCATATAATGGCCGAGGTATACTCCAAGGTCAGCACCTGTAGCGACAGACCAGCAGGCATGCTTGAATTCTTCTTCGTGCACATAGATAGGGACGTCAGTGTCCATAAAGTGCTCGAGACCGCCAGCGTGGTCTAGGTGCAAATGTCCCATAATCACTGCTTTCACGTCCTTGATGTCATTCCCTGTCGCCTTAATAGCCGCGGGTAACTTCTGGGCCTCCGCGTATCCAGTGCGGGGAAAGATATCGGTCAGAGGGGCACCCCAATTCTACTGCAGAGTAAGCAATCCGTACGCGAATGCAGCATTTTGCACTGGATTTGGAGTCACAAACCACTTCAAGATCTTCGGCGCAACCTGTTTCATACAGAATGAGTCCAACTCCGGGATAGTCAATGAGCGCAGAGAGAACTATAAGTTCACGCCGGTTGTTCTCCGGGTTTTTATTACTCAGCGAGCTGGTGTTGCCTCCACGAAGAACCCTGTGTTCAAAATTCAGTAAAAGACACAAATTCCGAAGGCGATGGTTAGACGAACCATGACTCGTCAAGTTCCAAGGTTCCCAAGTCGAGGATGTACATCTTGGTTCCAGGTGGGCATTTGAATGCTGGAACTGCAGCCGAAATCAGAAGGCTGGCTGGGTCGACAGATGATGACATGGCTAGTTGGTAAAAATCGTAGGGAAGATGAAATTGTGAAAGTCTTTGAGAAGAGCTCGCTGAGAAGCAACTCTTTTTCAAATATTAACTCTTTTCATTACCAAGGATAGAACCTCGGTGACTTGTTACCTCCATGTCCACGATTTTCAGAGATGGGTGGGTAGTCGCCTTTTCCAGCAAAGTAACCGTAGAGGTTGGACCCTTCCAAGGGTCGCCTTCTTGGTGAATCTAGTTGAATTTCCCGCGATCGACTGGTGTAGGGCGTCTCACCAGTCAAACTGGGTGACCTGTCGGAACCGGCCAATTCGGCGGATTAGGGAGAGTGAACAGTTGATGCTTAGTATAGCCGTTCTCCTGTTTTCGTGTCAAGATCACCATTCCCAGATCACGGGACGAAATGATTCTCACTTCTTTCTCCGAAGTCATAGTACTTAAGTAGGCTACTCAAGAAAGCTCTCTTTGTGAAAGTTCTCATATGCTTGATGAAATCCTTTTCTTCTTAAATTACGGGACGGGCAGCTGAGTTTGTTTGATCAGGTTCATGTCTGAGAGATTAGGCCTCAATGCCGTCATTCTCAACACAAAGGTTATTTTCCTGCTCGAGAAGGATACCCACGGACTCCCCTGAAAAGCCCAAGAGAGTAGAAATGGATGACTGATATCACCCAACGCTATTCCAATTCATTCTGCATCTGCCCAGTAATTCGATTAACTGGTAAATGCCCCTGCACATTTATGAACTTAGCAACAAATGAGCATGGCTCGATTGCTTTTGGTGTAGATGACTTACTTCAAATTTGAGGCGCTCCCACACCCGCACCAACCAACTGCCAAGTACTTATTATCGGGCTGGTGGTGTATAAATCCCCAGGATAAATAGCAGCTGGGTGTATCTTGAATAAGATATGATTCAAAGTCTTATTGAACGTCATGTATATTGGTAGGCATGATACTATATGATGCATGCTATGTACTATCATTGAACTGCGATGGAAACATGGATGATCTCAGGGTAAGTCAACACACCCCTTGTATTTACACAGGCTGAGATGTGTCGATCCTACTATCGCTTCATGCTGCTGCCCACTCGTAGCCGGCAGTAGGGTTGTCGAAGTAGTACGCGGTGTCTTTACCATTCGCCTCCTTTGATGAGAAGCCATTGCCCAAATAACTGAAGCGGTTCTTTTTGATTCCGTCCCAGGCATAATCCTCGTAGCGCGGCTCGTCTAGCATGTGGAACCAGTGAACTCGACTGCCAGGGTGCAAGGCAACAACAGGGCCGTCCACGGTACCGTTCTTAAACCAAGATCGGCAATGAGTTGTCCAGGCTGTGCGTTGCATGAAGACCTGGATATGCTCGTCAAAGTCGTCAACTGCTTGCTGATTCACAGTAACGGCCTTGACATCCTGAGTCTGGCATTTGTGTATCATTTTGAGGATATACTTGGTCGAATGCTCAACGATGGGTAGGACAGAGCCATGTCCAATTGGTGCACTCGGACCAAGGAACACTGATAAGAGTAAGAAGGTCAGTAAGCGCACATCAATACAACCATGACTCGCAGCATAACCTACTGAAGTGATTTGGAAAGTTAGGTACCGCAAGAGATAAGTAAGCGCTAGGCTTTTTCTTCCACTGATCGCCCAGAGTAATCCCATTGCGTCCAGTGATGGGGTAGCGTGGACGGAAGGAGATGTCAAAGCCCGTGGCACAAATAAACATATCTACAGCGATAACCTCGCCAGTAGATAGCTTTATTCCTTCCGGTACAATCTCAGAGATGCTATCTGTGACCACTCTGACATTCTCCTTCCCAAGAGATTCCAAGTAGCCATTTCCAGGGGTAGGTCTGCGGCAGCCAACAGCAAATGTCGGAATCAAATATTTGAGGAGAGGCGAGTCTTTGCCTAGCTTCTTCTTCATCTCATCGATCGAGAAACGAACAGCTTCAGCTTGGTCCGGGCTATCTTTAATAATCTGTGTATTGTGTTAGACATCAACAGAATTCAAGGTGTGAAAATTGACACTTACAAATCTGAATCGGCTGTTAAGCTCATGCTCAACCTCCTTTCGATATTTTAGATAAGTTTCCGGCTCGTTTCTGAATTGTTCTTTTTGTCCCTCGCTAACTGTAATCATATTAGTACAGAGAAAAAGGAAGAACACTATGGCTCACGTACAAGCAAAGTTTGATCCATTCGGGCCTGCCTTGTTTTGAGCAAATCCAGCTGTAATCCATGTCGGAGTCCTAATAAATGTGACGAGTTGTTTCACATCTGCTAGGGTGTTAGCAAGAACCGATACAATCAATTCTGAGTTTCTTGCCTGGCTGAATGGTGGGTACGATCTGCACGCCTGATGAACCGCAGCCAAGGACTGCAACAGTCTTGCCCTCCCATGAGACATTCTTGTTCCACGCTGCGCTGTGAAGGAGTTCACCCTTGAAGCTGTGTAAACCCGGAATATCAGGCCACTTCCAGTTGCTAGAGCAGTAGAGTCAGCATATATTTTCTTCAGATACTGGCAGGCACCGACGCACTTGAGAATGCCGGACGCAGTGATCATGAAATGACACCAGTCGTCAATGATCCTGCCCGTGGCATTGTCTTGGACCTTGATTTTCCAGATTGAGTCACTTTCTACCCACTCGGCATTGATGACGCTGTGGTTCAAGTTGATGAATCGATAAAGGTCGTACTTCTTAGCAACATTCTTGAAGTATTCCAGAATTTCGGGTGCCCGCGAGTAGCTAGTTTGATACGTCAGCCGGAGATCTTCCAACTTGCTTTAAGGGATGATTTCAGTGCTCACAAAGTACTCCAATTTGGATTTGGCGCCCATGTGAATTGATAGTTGTGGGACGGTATATCACAGGCGCAGCCAGGATATCTGTTCTCATACCAAGTCCCCCCAACCTCAGGGTTCTTCTCGTAGATAGTCAGGTCAATATTGCGCATATGTTGACTGATCTGATGTGCCAGGTTTAAGCCAGAGGCTCCTGCACCAACAGATATCACCCGCAGATGGCGGGCTTCGCCCAAGATCTTCTCGGAGACGGTGTAAGGCTCTGGACTAGAGACATTGGTGCCATTGGCGGAGGTGTGAGGTGCTTCGATCATTCTGAATTGATGGAGCAATTCAGGTGCAATGGCAAAGAAAAGAACTAATAACGCATCTAAATACTCTCATCCATCCTTCTCATTGCCCAATCGGAACATGCGTCTAGTCGAGTGCCGCGTGACCCGGATGACTAATGTGGGCAGAGTCCGGGGCCCCCACATCCCCGGCTTCTTGCGAGTCACCTCGGGAACTTGTTTCTTCGTTCCTCACCCTTCCCAACAGTTTTGCAGTAGAATCCTGCATATTGATTGGGGTCAGATCTCCACACTGATCTTCACATGCCCGTGCGTTTCCCCACTACCCCACTACCCCATACCCCGGTGCTCCGGTGCTCCGGTCCCCCCGGTTCCCCATCGCCTTATACCCTTGTCCCTTCGTCGCGAATGTATGTTCCTAGCGAATCCCCGCCTCTTCCCTATGTTCGGGAAGCATGCAGGGGACTCGGGATGCTTTGATTACAGATTATTCTTCCTCCTATTGTGTCATCCTTTGCGTTGTCGCCAAATGCTGGGCTCAAATGTTTAAGATTTAATCCATAGATGACGCCTCGCAACGAGGAAACACACACATCACGAACTCCGGGAAGCATGGAGAATGTCAAACGTGCAAAGGTCGCGTGCAAGTCCTGCCATGCGAGGCGCGTGAAATGCGACGCAGCCACGACGCAGCCATGCTGGCATTGCCAGCTGCGGGGCACCACTTGCGAACTCATAGAATCCAAACGCGGAAGGTAGGGCTGACACTGCTCCATTGTTCCTCTGTAATGGTATCTTTGAGGTCGAGTTGGGTGCTAATTTGACCTAGATACGCGAGAAAAAGGGGCTCGGGAACAAGAGTCCAAGATCGAGTTTCTCAGAGGGAGAAGGAGCCGGCACAGAAATCACAACACGTGCCTACACCTCAGACCATAACGGAGAATCCATCTGACAATGCGCAGTCCTTGGGACAAACACTCACTCCACCTATGACAGGCAGTCAACTGGAAGATAATCACCCAGAACATGATGGGTTGAATGAGGGACCTGAGATGTTATATGCGCGGATGGTCGATGCCCAACCGAGCGAGCGCGAACCAAACTTTCAGTCCGATAACGCGAGATCCTTCTATATGGGAGAATCCTTTAGTCTCTCGTTCGTGGTTAATTCAATATACAACAACTCTGGTCATGGCACCAGCGTTAAGCGGCACTACCCTATACCCACCAATGTGTCAGAGCACGCGCGCGACGCGGCTGAAGGATTGAAGCACTCCGATCCAGCGACAATCTCGTATCTTGAGATGCGGGGCTCATTCTCACTACCGCCACAGGATGTTCGCAATGAGCTCATCCGCGTTTTCTTCACTTCCTTTCACCCGGCATATCCTGTCCTTGACCGACAAGCATTCTCTGCTTTGTATCGTGAGGAAAGAGTGTCATTCCTTGTCCTGCAGACGATATTCTTCCTTGCCTTCACAAGCTGCAGTGACGACTTGGTCGAGAGAGCTGGATATCCGAACCGACTCACTGCTAGAAGGACATGCTATCTTCGAGCCAAAGCACTTTATGACATGGATTACGAGAAGGACAAAGTGCAGCTCACGGCCGTGCTTTTTTTGCTGGGTTTCTGGTGGGAAGGCCCTGAGGATCAGAAAGATACTTGGCATTGGCTTGGGTCTGCTATTGGTCTTGCGCAGACTTTGGGAATGCACCGATCGTGAGTACTCCATGTTCATATGAACTTGTCCTGGCTGTGTCTTTGGTACTAAGAGTGGTCAGCACTGCAAATTCTGGCATGCGGCCTTCGCATCAATCTTTATGGAAAAGAATCTGGTGGTCCATCTATGTTTGTCACTCCTGCCCCTCTCTTGCCTCGATACTAATCACCATTAGACTCGTGATCGGCACGCTGCTGCTTCTCTTGGTCGACCAACGCGTATAAAAGATGAAGATTGTGATGTTGAAATGCTGAATAAATCCGATTTCCTGATCGATCAAGACTTCGATAACAACTTAATATGTGAACAGCACGACTTTCACGTCAATTATACGATCGAAATGTCAAAGCTCGCAGCCATTTGTGAGTCTTACTAAGTCCAATACCGTGTGAGGTTTTGCTAAAGCAGAACAATAGTGGGCAAGGTCCTCACCGAGCAGTTTGCACCCCGGAGATATGGCATAGGCGATAATCGAGAAACTCTCCTGCAAGAGCTTAATCAATTTGAGTTCCAGTTGCCATTGCAGTTAAGACGACAGCCAGTGGACGAAACTATGACTGCATCTTTCTGGTCATGCATGCTGCATGCAAGCTATCAGTGAGTGAGATAATGGTCTCTCTGAATTATGGTCTGTGCTGAAAATATCTCAGTAATTGTCAAATTCTTCTATTTCGACCCGGGGGTCCTCAATCAGCCTTCCTGGGCGAAGTAGAGAGCGAGAAAAGAGCTATGATAGCGGCGGATCTGACCACCCGTATAGCTGAAGATTTGCTAGCTGCTGGAACATTATCATATGGCCAGCTTCACCTGTACGTATCCTTTTACCTTTAATGACTAGAAAATGCTGACATCGACAAAGTGTTCCCGCCATATTCGCAGCTCTCTCCATACACTCCGTTGCCATCCGCCGCAAAGATCCTATCAGGCGTCAACTTGCTGAAAATCGAGCTCGTCAGTGCATGCTTGCAATGAGCGAACTTGCTAAGTCTTGGCCTGTAGCGGGTTGGATTCTTCGCCTTTTCATCAACTTGATGAAAAAGCTCACAGACCAGAATGTGAGATACGATAGTAATTTGGATCGAAGCAGGCAAGATCGAACTGGATATCGCGGGGACTCGAGCATGGACTCCCCATCAGCAGCCACCAGGTCAGGGACGACTAGAACCATGCAAATGGGCCATGGTTTAGGTAACCTGATTAATCAACCGGTTGAGGCTGATCAACTGTCCGCGAGAGTGGAGGAATGGAATGCGATCCAGCAATCGGATCAACTGTTATCTGATGTAATATGGGCACCAGATCAGAATAACTTTGATTTTGATCTCCTGTTTCAGGGGCAGTCGAATGGATCGTTGCCCTTCAATTTCGGATCACTCGCAGAAACCTTTGTTCCCGAATACGTCGACACCGGGATCCAACATGCCTCAAATCGGAATATTGATCACCTTTTGGCGGAGTCCAGTGGGTAGGAGAGAAACCGGGAACATCAGAACAACACAAGACCGCTTGACACCTTCGCAAAAGGGTGGGCTTCAATCATGTATAGAGAAGCATACGAAGAAGGGGACTGTTCAGAACGAGACACGAGGCTTCGGCAATATATAGGGAGACCATCCCGGCTACGCAGAAATGTACAGCTTTGTATTTTTACCTAGGCTTATGACTCCGCTATAGGAGCGAGCTTCACACCTTAGCAAGACAAAGCAGGCGATAACTAAAAATACGATTTCAGCCACAGACCATAGGCCCGGATTGCTCCACTTCCATTCTCACGCACGCTTCCTTTCTGTTCCGTGCTCAAAGAAGCCGGTGCCTGACTTGACCCCCAATTTCCCTTGGGCAATCATTTCCTGTAGCAGCTTCCGCGGCTCTTCGGGAAGCCCCGGGCGAAGCTCGGCGTAATGCTTCTCAATATCCAGTACTACATCCAGGCCCACAATATCCATTTGCTCACAAGGACCCTTTGGGGTCTTTAATACCGACTTGAATATGCAGTCAATCTCGGCGGGCGTTGCTACCCCCTCAGACAATGCGAGAAGCGTCTCGCGTTTGATAGCCGCCCAGATCCTGAAAGAATCAGCAGGTTTCCCCTCCGTTGTTAGTGCTCGAAAGGGGGTACATACCGGTTGTAAATATAGCCTGTAGAAGGGCGTCGGACATGGAACGGGTCAAACCCATGAGCTTTTGTTTGCTCCATCAGTAGCGATATGATCTTGCTATTAGTCTCGGTCGATCCCATGATCTCGATTGCTTTTGATATTCGTCAGCCCTTTTTTCATAGAGAACTATTCGTGGAATATGTCACCTGGAGTTTCCGGAGGCCAGTCTAATGCATGTTAGTGCTGGACTTCCAATAAAATAATAATAGGCGCGAAGAAAGAGATCAATGCTTACAGGAATGCAAACTGACGAAATTGCTAGGATGCTTCGCCTTTAGCCCATGCATGAGCTCTACAATATCATAGCTGCTGGAGTTGGACGCAACGATTGTGCCTGGTCCAGCCTGGTCTCCGAGTTGCTGCATGATAGATCGCTTTAGGGCCAAGGATTCCGGAAGGCACTTATCAGATATCAGTAAAGCCATCTATCATTCGCTAGTTCCTACCCAACTTACCTCCACAACAAGCCAGGATTTGGAAAGCGATGCCGTGAGATCATTAGCCGGGGAACAGATGACTTCTCCCCACTGGGTGGGTTCGGCCAGCGATGGCGTATTGGTTCTCAGTTGCTCGATTTCCTGCCGTGCCCGAATCAATTGTGTCGGGTTCTTATCAACGAGGTAGACAGGCCTTCCCAGTCGCGACCACTGTAGATTCAGATTTAACCCAAGCCAATGGGGGGCAGGTGATCACGAACCATGAAGGCAAGTCGGGTCCCCTGAGTTCCTGCACCCAGCAGGGTTACAGCCGATAGTCCTGATAATCCAGGCATATTTGAATAACGGTCGAATCTTAGCAAAGGGGACGCACTTATAATACGTTTGTACACTCGTTCGGAGTTGTTCCAAATCCCGGCGAGAGCGGGGGTTTGGAGAAATAGGCACCTCGGCATCTTATGTCGGCTTTTCGGAACTTCAACAGTGAGGTTGTTGTCGACCCATCCATCGCCCATATCTCTCTTTATTCAAAATTTAGTTAACACCATCACTGTCCTTTTCCCCAACGAACCGGATGCCAAGTATGATATCGAATACTACGTCTCGCATCACATGCCACTTATCGAACGGCGGAGGGAGAGGTACGGCGTTCAGAGCTGCTCTGTGACCACGTTCGATTCGAGTGTCTCTATGCATTCGGAAGTATCGTTGCCTGGGAAAGCAAAGAAGGGTTCCAGAAAGCCTTTGGAAGTCCCGAAGTAGCCGAAATTGTGAGTGACGTTCCCAAATTCAGCAACAAGCGGGCAGTTTTCTTGTTTGGTTCGAAGATTTAGGCAGACGACGACACTACAGCCAGTGATTCATGGATTGTGACAAGACATGTTCATATCCCGGCGCCTGTTTGATTTAGGCTACATGCAGCATATTCAATTTGCTAATAGTCAAAGGAAGTGCCGTATCTGCAGGGCCACGGCTGAAATCAGGCAAGAGACTTGTTGAGAATTCTAAATTGCCTTCTGTATTTTCATGTATAATTCAAGTTACGCGTATACAGAAGTCGACTGGGACATTTGTTGCCGTGTCTCGCTGGTTTGACAATAAAATTGATTCAAAGAATGAAAAGTTAACTATTACTGCACATTCTAGAGACTTTTTATCAAGGGCTTTAGTCCCGCTGGGTAGTGGGATCCCAAGCGGTAGGCGAAAATTCCTCGGTATGTAGGAGCGTTATGTTATCGTTATCTAACTCAAAGTCAAATACATCGGCATTCTCCTTAATACGCTCGGGGGTAGTCGACTTCGGTAGTGGCACAAATCCCTGTAAGATAGGTTAATGTTAGCTAGACCACTTTGCACAAAAGACTCTATATGCAACTATATGGACAGGATAAAGTCTGCCGGGTGGGGCCTTCCCTATCTAGGCTGCCGCCGCTTTTATGAGGGCGCTTGGCTTAGGATCACTGAGTAGACGTCAGCACGGGCTTAGAGAAAAGGATGCCTGGTATGGAAGGTATAAACTACTCTGTAACATGCTCAGTCGTGCCGTGGGCTGTATGCTCAGGACACGTCACAGCAACCAGCAGATGCTGACCCCTACTGTTGGCACCGTGCCACTAAAGATACTCCTTGATCTGTTCCTCGCACCAGTTCCAGAACTTGGCTGTGCCCCCGTTTCCGCCATCTTCCTCAAGTAGCGTGGCCTTGGTCAAATCGGACCGGAGAGGAAACATACGTCCAAACGGAGCAACTGCGGGTCAAACATTATCAGTTGGGGTATCGGTCCCAGAGTCTTATAGGAGTTCCACACTCACCCCACTCCTTGGTCCAGTCGGCCTGATCGGAAACGACCTCAGGCGAAAAGCCGGCGTAGAGCGCCGTGTAGGCGCCGTACACGGTCGGATAGCACACTAGCTTGGCGACTTTGCGCAGCTGTAGGGCCTGGTCGCGCGGCAAGCCGGAGACGACGTTGCCGGGATCGATAGGCACGCTAGCGACACCTTGGGCTTTGTACTGGCGGTTGTGCTCGATGCCCAGAGCCCAGGCGCCCGTCTTGCTCAAGATGTAGCGCTTGGTTTCCTTTTCTGGCTTGTGGTAGTCGAGGTTGTCGGTGGCGATGCCCACGTCCCGTTGCGCGCCTATCTCCATGCCGAACGAGCTATACCAGACGATGCGCGTCAGACTGTCGGTGGCGACGAGAGTCGGCGTGAGCAGCTTAGTCAGTAGGTGGGTGGCCACGCAGTTGACGCCCAGGCAGAGCTCGTGGCCCTGTGCCGTTACGGGAATGGGCTCGCCGGGCTCGCTCGGGCCGACCATCTGTCGTCAATTAGGAGTCGGAATGACGAAAGGGGCAAGAACTACATGCGAAGATGTGGTAGACGTACGACGCCGGCATTGTTGAAGAGCACGTCCAGGCGCTGCTCGCGGGCGAGGAAGGCGACGGCGGCGGTCTTAACATTTGTCAGGTCAGCGAGGTCGCAGGCGATGAAGATCAGGGCGCCCTTTGAGTCTGGAAAGGCCTTCTCGATGTTTTGGATGGCCTTAAGCGCCTTGTCCTCGGAGCGGCATAGGACGTAGACCTTTGCGTTGTTGGCGTACAGAAGGCGGGCGATGTCCTTTCCGATGCCACTGTTGGCGCCAGTGACGACATAAACCTTACCGTAGAGGTCTGCTGGCAGGTTCGCGTCGGTGAAGGTCGGCTTGGGCGGGAAGAAGTGCCCCCAGAAGTGCGACAGCGTCGGCATTGTTGCAAGGTTGGTCAGTCTCACCCCAGGCTTTCAAGAATCGTCAGGGGTCGGTGACTGATAGCTGAGCAGTACTGAGCCTGAAGAATAAGTGATTTCAATTAAATTGCTAGCGGTCGATGTCGGATTTTTAGTGGCAGAATCTGTTTAGCTAGAAGCCTGGAAAAGTTATTGCCGATTACCCGGCCGGGCTGACTATTAAGCAGGCACGGGCCGACCAGGCACGGGCCGACTAGGCTCCCCGCATCTCCGTCATAGTACTACAACTAGTATAGGGGGAGGCCTAAGTGGCCGCTTGATCAACCCACCGGGTGGGTCAGGTTGGAACAGCCAATCAAGGGGGTAGCAGGAAAAAAAAGGGACCAATGTGAGACCTTCGGCGAGTTAAGAAGAAGGCTTTTTGACCAGTTACATCGCGCAATTGGGCCATTTGAGCTGTCTCATTATGACAGTATTGTTTCAAACCCGCTAGCAACCCGCTACGTTGCCAAATTCATGCACCAAACCGGTCTTCTTGCTCAATTTCAACATGCTGATCAAGAAGAGTCCGATGATGAACCAGATAAAGACCTCGAGGTCATGGAGCAGAGTCCCGAAGACGCTGGGCACTACCCAATGCTTGCTATCACGTTTGAGGAAGGAGAGAGCCTCACTCAGCTATTCGAATACACAGTGCCTGACTAGGCAATGAACAACGATAATCAGCAATCGAGGCTGAAGTGAGGAGTTGAAGAACGGGGTTTGATCTTGCAGCAGTACGAACTGGCTGGGATCTTGATGCGGAAGCGTGTACATGTCTCGTGAGAAGGAGAGGACATTGGAGAGGTGGAGGTGCATCCACGCATTCATTTTTGTATTCAATGCATCACTGGCATTGAATTTTCATTTGTACTAGGCTTTTTCGACGCATTTGCGGGTTTATGAGTTTAGCTTACATATAATGGGCTGGTGCTTCCACTCTTTGAGAATCAGCCTCACTTTTTGTACTGGAGCATGTTCAGGCGTACGAACACGAGTTCTTGCTTCAACCGGATAGAAGCGCCTGCATAGCCATTACGATACTAGTTAGGCTCCAACAGGTTAATAGAACTTTGATTGATTGATTGATTGATTGATTGATTGATTGATTTTGATGCCCTAATGACGTTTCGATGGACAGTCGCACCCTCGCTAGCAACCCGCTCGAATCCTCAATAAAAAGTCCAGTCCTCCTCAGAAATATGAATTTATTTTCTTATTCCAAATGATGAGGCTTACCCACTGATTAGCAATCCTGTTTTTGACAGGGGTCACTCGGATTTATCGGAACTCCGTTTGTGAATTTGCCGGTGAAACTTCAACGCAAGGAGGATTACGTGGTCTGGTAGGGCTGAGTCTGAGCATGACTGCCCTTACAAATTGGACTACAGAGTATATACCCCAGACAGTTGTTTCACATGGCTGAAGTGCACAAGCAAGCACGGGGAAGTAACAAAAAGCTGCTGGGCACCTTACAGACTCGTAGGGCTGGATTTGACTTACTATGGAATCTTAAGATACTTCGCATTACGGTAAGGGGGCACTGGCGCTTTGCATAACCCGTGTGGCGCTTTGTAACTCGCTGTCCTGGGCAGTCAGTTGACAATGGCAATTATTAGGGATGTGTTGTTGTTGGATTTTACTGCTTGTTAAGCCCACCGTCTTGTTCGAGAAAGGGTATTTTAGCCTCCATTAATACTAAGCAACGTTTCAAGCGAACAATCTTCAGTCAAAAGTGTTCCAAGATGCTGCATAGTGCATCGGCATTGTATATCTTTCTGTATGCCAGACACCGGAATCCGCTGTGCCAGGGGCGAGCATACACCCATCCCATGCCATATCAAAGTCCCGAGATCCTCTACCAGGGCGACGAATTATCTCCGGCGAACTCTTGCTCAAAGTCATTTTGTTTCGGACATGGGATGGCACTGGCTCGCTACCAACACCATCTTCGGCTGCTACTAATTTTATCTCGCGCGGGGTTACGGAGTTTCGGCACTACTATGCCCTATAGAGACATGTTTGTATGAATGATCGTAGTGGCACGCCCCTCCTTGCCTTGTTTTTACTCATTTGTATCCCTGCTAGATCCACTTTCCTCGCAAATAAGAGGCTGCAAACAGGATCTAGGCCGCCCAATGGGGCACCTGTACTTGCGTTGCCACATATTTGATCCTCTCCAATGGTGTATATCTCTCACCTGGATGACTCGCACGCATTTCTCCTCATGCGGGGTTCGAGTGAAGACTGGGGATCCACCAACCGTTGAGGACCGTCGAGGCCTGTGCCGCATGTCACCGGAATAGCCGAGCGACGGACGCTCTTGGCGCTTCCCGGTTGGCAAAGCTTAGCCCGATCAAGGTTCCCCCACTGTTTCTAGAAATAAATATACACCCCGTCTATCTTCTTTTGTAATAGTCGCGGTCATGCGATTGCTACTGTCTCCTCGTTCGTCTGTGCAGCATAGACATCCATCCCATGACGTTCCAAACTGGGTTTAGAGCAAAGGAAGGTGGGTGTGCTGGTTTTAGCTGCATGGATTGAGAACCTTGCTCCTCCAGAGGCCTTCCTTGCTTATATATACACGGAAAGTGGATCTTATTCTACTTTTATATAGGTGTTTCTTACCCTGTGCTAATATTTGTATGCAGATTGGCTGATAGTAAGCTTGAGCCGTGTTTGCTTGGATGGTTCCCCATGAAGTGGACTCCTCTGTTCCAGAAGGACAATACTAACGGGGAAGCCTAGCATTCTTCAGCTCCAAGGTACATTACACGCCTCACTTTAGTTAATTGTGGGGCTTAACACATGCAGCCAACACAATCCACAATCTATTAATCTCCGACTGAAGCGATCCACACTACCTAGGTGGTATTGCTGTCTGGCACGGCAGACGACGGTACTATATCGCTTTCGGTGAGGGGTGACAGGACAGAGAAACTGTCTATCCCCGTTTCATAATTTCCTCCGCGTTTATCCCTTCTCCCCTCTCGGGATCATGTTCCCTGCCTATCCTGCAGCCAGTCAGCATCTGTTTTTGAGTGGCGATATCCCGCTACCTTACCTCGTTCGGGGTCTCCATGAGGGGAAGCAACAGCTCCACTATGAGAATGTTGGAGAAGACCTGTCGGATGTGAAGGAACTAATGATACAGCACAAGAACATATGAACTATCTCTTATTGGTAGCCTGCGGTTTACGATAGACATAAAAGGCTGATGATACGCTGCTGCAGATCGAGGATATTTGGATTCACCCTCTTCTCAGTGTTTGTTTGCATCTCAACCTATTGAGGCCATGAAAATGAAGATACCTCTCCTTGCCACACTCCTACATGTGCTGTCCTTAGTACAGGCTGCTCCAGCCCGAAGTAATAGCGATTCTAACCCCGGCCTTCGAGGAAGCGAATCGCTTGTTGGATATTCACCATCGGAACCCTCTGCTAGCAAATCAGCACCTGACATCAAATACACGCTACTTCCCGGACAGAAGGAAGATCCGAATATTGGATCGTATCTGGATTTTGAGAAAGCCGACAACCCCCAGCCAATCCGTGGTTCGAGTGGTGGAGATGACCCGGGCCCGAGTACGTTTGCGTGGAAATATTTGATTTTGAGTCGGATATTAGCTGATACTTGGTGGTTCTTCATAGGAAATTATAATTATGACCGGATTAACAGTGATAAGCTGGCACCTCCTGGGACTGATCATGGACAGACAATCAATGCTCAATGGCCCATGGGTAAGTATACTCCCTTCGATTGGCATATCCATAGGGTGTTAACCACGCGATAGGACTGAGTCATAACAGGTGATTACCTTTTCTGGCATAATTGTACTTATACTAATATCCCTCAAGACTCGGAATCGAGGGTGCAGGTTGGGCTCGCCAAGAAAATACCGTCGTCATGCCGGACGCCAAAATGATGGCCGGAGTCGATATGAGGCTTGAGCCTGCTGCATATCGTGAGCTCCACTGGCATGTGGCATCCGAATGGTCCTTGGTCTTGAATGGTTCATGCAGAATTCAGGTATTGGATCAATCTTCAATCGGAGTACTACATGGGCACTAATTAACCATGTCAGGCTATCAACGAGAACGGAGAGACATTTATTGATGATTTAAACGCTGGTGATGTCTGGTTCTTCCCTCCGTAAGTATTCCGATAGTTATTCGATATTAATTGTGCTGATATTTTATCGTTAGTGGTATTCCGCACTCCATTCAAGCACTCGATGACGGAGTGGAGTTCCTTCTCGTCTTCGATGATGGAGACTTTAGTGAGGATAACACCTTCCTTGCTACGGAAGTCTTCCTTCACACCCCGGTAATATCTGCACATTTCTGTCATCAAAATCCTAAATACTAATTTCGCATGCAGAAAGAGGTGCTCGCCAAGAATCTTGGACTGACCACATCGGCATTCGACAATATACCCGGTGATGAACTCTACATTTTCAAGGGAACACCGGCACCGGCAGACATTGAAGAGCAAAACGTGACAACATCTGCTGGACTTGTGCCTCGCACTCAGAGCTACTCTTATCACTTCTCAGAGCAAGAAGCTCATAATGTTGCCGGTGGGTCTGTGAAGATTGTCGACCCGATCAATTTCCCTATTGCTAGCAACTTCTCCGCTGCTATCGTCACTGTTCACCCAGGTGGCATGCGTGAGATTCATTGGCACCCCACCAGTGATGAGTGGACGTTCTTCATATCTGGTCAAGGCCGAGCTACTCTCTTCACGGCTCCGAATGCTGCGACCACCTTTGATTATAGAGCCGGAGATGTCGGATACTTCCCCAAATCTAACAGTCACTATATTGAAAACACTGGAGATGAAGATTTGGTTTTCGTGGAAGTGCTTCAAGCTCCCCAGTTCACCGGTATGTGTTCTTATCCGGTTTACGTGGACTGGTACTGACAATGCTTAGATATGGCCCTTGGTCAATGGATTGCCTCTACACCGAAGCAGATCATTTCCGACACACTCAATCTTAGCAATGACACACTTAGCAAGCTCAAAAAGGAGAAGCAATATGTCGTCGCTGGAAACACCACTTCATGAATCACTACATACATCGATTATCCCAGCACACATCTTACATGGTCCAGTTTGAGTCACATATCATTACAGTTTGAATACTACAGAGAGAGAGCATGGAGAAACATGTCAAGCTCTGCAAAAAAATAACCTTCAATATTGCTGTACTATACCTTATAAGGCGGCGGTGAATCGTTATCATTGTCAGAATCATCGTCGCTGTCCAAACTAACATCGGAATCATCATTGTAGACAGGAGGGTGCTCATCTAATCCATGGGTAGCCTTGGATTTCAATTGAGGAACCTCAGGCGTAGCAATGGGGGTATGAACAGATTTCTAGAGAGCCGGTCAGTCAATAATTATCTTCATATTCCAGATTGGCCCACTTACTCCCGTCCCTGAAGCGTCCATCTTGATAGCGACCGGTTCACGATCACCAACCCTGCCAACAAGTACACCCTTCCTCCAAACACCGTATTTGAGAATCATTCCTTTGAAATCGGACCTAGAAACAACACATTCGGCCACATCACAGTCTGTCAAGCTAGCCCTCTCAATCTGGCTCTTCGAAATTGTTGTCCCAGTAATGGTGCCGCGCTTCAGCTCACTTTTATCCATGATGACGGCCTTTTTCAGGGTCGATCGTTTTACCGAACTTCGGCCTTGCAGGACACTATCTGTGATCTCGCTGCGCTTTATGAGCGCGACATCTTGGAAATTGGAGTTTTTGGCTGTGGAACGGGACGCGTATTCCACATTTGATAAGATGCAATCATTCAGAACACATCGCTTCACCGATGAATTTCTGATAGTGCAGCTTTGTAGGCTGCAGCGCATGAGGCTATTTCCGTCGCCGCTGAGGAAACTGCTACTGGCGTGTGATTCGTCCATGGCTGTGGCTTTTCTGAATACCTTCTCTCTCGCGATAGTGAAGACGAATGGGTTTTTTATTCTTGTGCTCCACAGCGGCTGCAAGGGCGAGTGTGACGTGGGACAAAAATTTAGGCTTATTTGGGAGAGGAGGAAGTGTTATATAGAGGGACTGCGGAGGTGGGGCGATACGGGCTTATTCTCACGGAACGCTGCTGCCTGTACCGTCTATATATCTACGAATCAATGCAAAAGAACCAACGCCGTCATTTAATAAAAATGGTTATGATACTGACAGCAACTGGCATGCACCTGCCTAAATCAAAATTGACAAAAGCTACTGAAGCCCTCGCAACATGTTGTCCCACACTTTGCTCTATAGAGAAATTTCGGGAATCACAAAAATTTAATTAAATAGTCTATCTGAACTTCTATGGACCTGGAACATGGCAAGCGACAAAGGCGACGAAATTAGGATAAGGTACATGTTCCAAGCACATTCTCAATATGTAGTCCATTCCCATTTAATATACAATAAAATTTCATCACAATATTAGACCGAAACTCCCTTGATTTGTCCACAATTTCCGTTGGAGACTTGGACATTGGTAAAGGAGCGTTGAATACCAGCTGTGCCGTAAGTAGAAGAGGTCGAGCAACTGGTTGTTCCAATCTTGTAGCAGAATTTCACAGCTGTAGTCGAGTAGTAGTAGGACATAGCACAGTTAGAGGTCTCGATGCAGCTAACACAGCAGTCATATGCGCTGTCAGTGTTTCCAACGGTAAGGGTTTCACCGGGGACATGGGTGAAAGTGAGAGAATAGATGTACTGGCCAGCGAAAGAGCCGAAGTTGGAAGAGAGAGGGTTGCTAGCAATGTTGTTGGTTGCGCAGGCGGCATAGAAGGCAGTAGTAGTCACACGGGCAAGGACAGTAGAGGTGGAAGTGATGGTATCCGTCTCAGCAGCGCCGTAGGATGTCTCGGTGATGGTGGAGGTGGTACTATAGCTCAGGGTGGTAGAGACGTCTGAAGGAAGAACCACTAAGCTACTGGTGATGGTGATGGTCACAGTGATTGTGGTAGAAGGAGTGGCCGCAGTGACAGTGGCGGGTGATCCAGTGACTGTCGAGACTGTTGTAGTCTTGATAATCCTTTTCTCGTGGCAGACAACCTCTTGAGGGTACTCGTAATCGTCAACCCATGGGGAGCATTGATCCAGTGCCTCTTGTTCCAAGGAGCGCTTGTACACGGTAGAGGTAGGAATAGTATCCGCGACAGGGATGAAGCCTGCAGAGGTGCCGACAGTGGAGGTGCTAGTACTGGTAGAAGAGACGGTGGTGACGACAGTCGCCGTAATAAGAGCAGGAGTCAGAGTGAGAGTTGCAGTGTCATATTCAGTCGAGGTAGTTGAAAACGTATCAGTGATGGTATCAGCGGTGGAGATGAGTGTTGTGGTTTGATAGTCCGTGACGATCTCGCTTGGCACAGCAGGAGTCAGTGTGACAGTGTCCTGGGTTGTCGTGAAGACAACAACAGGAAAAGGATTGTGGTAAGTACGAGTGATCGTAGTAGTAGGAACTGTCTTCACCGAGCTAGTACCCAGATGTGTCCTACAGTCGGCTGTGTGGATATGGACTTGACTGCTGGCCACTTGGGAGCTGGCGGCGGAGCTTCTGGCGGAGACCTGACCAAGCAAAAGGACTGCAGCAAAAACAAAGCGATTGAATGACATATTGAATTAAAAGTTATGTTTTCCAATGTTTTGGGGGGAGTTGCTCTCGCTCGGACTATATACTTCTCTTTGTGCCAAGTGGAGATTGCCGCCGGCTAATTTCACCATGGCCAACTTCACGACACAAACCATGCAATCAGCGACCCATCGGGCGTACAATAGTGCTGATTAGAACCAGTAACCAGATCCTTTTCATTCTTTATCGTCAATTTAGTTTTGTCCCTTCGTCGGCGTTGTCCGTACGCGACAAACAGGAAACCATAAGCGAGAAAACGATCTATATACAGGAGCACATGGCTTCTTTTAGTTCGCATCAGTCATTCTTTCGTGGTTGCTTGGTCGCCCCTTTTATGTTTTGCTCTTTGCAGATTTGTCGTTCTCTTACAGTCACTCTTTAAGTCATTGGCCTTTATCAAGATGGGTCATTTTCTACTTCGAAGATGGATCCTCGCCACATTCCTTTTACAATCGAGTCTTGCTTTGACTTCTTCTGGGTCAGCACAAGTGTTACTGTGATACACAGTCATCATCACCATCATTGGACTCATATATCAAGGCCCTTACCAAGCCGCAAGCCCTGCAGCGCTCGTGTTTCCTCGTCTGCTCCCGCTTTTAAGGAGGCTCCTTCTTCATCAGCTATTCCCTTCTCAAGTGCGACTCCTTCGTCCGTGTCGGTTATTACCTCGCCACCAAAAGCCTCGTCCGCTCCTTATGTGAGACCATTCCCTAGCCATTCGCTGGTTCCTCACCCGCATTGGAGCCACATCTCCAGACCTCTACCCCATCGCAGCTCATGCTCGCCTTCTTCCTCTGGAGCTATCCCAACTTCTTCAAGTCTTGTTTCGATCCCTGTTCCCAAGGCTTCCACTACCCATGTTGGACTCAGCTCCTCTGGAGTGCCGCAATCCAGTGGGTTGTCGGCCACTGAGCAGAGGTCCTCGCAGGCCAGTATCTCTGAAGCTTCATCTGCGCCTACAACAACAATTGTCGTTCCTGTCTCCACATTCACACCGTCCGTGTCTCAGTCGGGCTCCTCTCTGGGGGCTGTTACTGTATCTGGATCTTCTACATTGCAATTGACTACCTCGACGGTTCTCTCTACTCGCACAGCCACCATCACCGCATGCCCCTCTACAGTTGTCAACTGCCCTGCTAGTTCCAAGTCAACCTTCGTAACCACAGAGACAATCGTTGTATCCACCACGATCTGCCCTGTCACTGAGGGTAGCAGTGCTACACAGACTGTGCCTTCCTCTCCATCTGTTACTGGAAATTCTGGTGACTCCTGCTCTGGCAACAATGTCCCGGGCTTCACAACATCTACAGTCTACAGCATTCGGACAGCCACTATCACTGCATGCCCATCGTTGGTCGCCCACTGCCCATTGAGATCGAAGACAACCTATCTGACCACTGAGACGTTGGTCGTTTCCACTACTGTCTGCCCCGTGGCTGATGCCACTGCTACTGCTGACACCGTAGCAACTCAGGCTATGACCTCGCCATCTGCTATCCAGGTACCCGGGAGCAATGGTAACGGTGGTTCCCAGCTCACTACTTCCACCATCTATGCCACGCGCACAGCTACCATCCTTGCCTGCCCTGAATCTGTGACCAACTGCCCCTTGAGATCGCAGACCACCTCTGCAACTGTTCAGACTGTTGCTGTTGCAACCACTGTTTACCCTGTGTCTCCAGTGTACACAACTCTCCCTGTTGAAGGGGCTGATGCTGTCGCTCCTACTGTGACTGTAGCAAATGCCCAAGCTACCGAGACAGGAACCTCAGTCCAGGATACCACTGCCGGATCTGAATATGGCTATACTGGCCCGACAAAATCTGAACCTACAAGCTCTCGCTCTGGTGAAAGCTCAAACGCAGGCGCCACATACACCACCACACTCGCTGTCGAATCCTGTTCCGATGATGGTACCTGCACAGGGTATGTCAACACCATTGTGATGACGCAGACTGGCATTGCTCAACCCACCGGAACCCCCGGCCTCTACGTCCAACACTTCGGTGCCGGGGCTTCAAGTAACCGGACTGCCTCTGCATCTTCGACTCATGCGTGGGTCCAGAGCACATATCCCAGCGGAATGACCACGGCCGCTGTCTTCACCTCGAGTAGCGCTGTGAATGCCGTGTACACTGGTGCCGCCTCTGCCGCCACCCAATTCCCAATGATTCAGGTCTTTGCTTCATTGATTGTGACATTGGTGGCGATGCTTGGCTAAGGGAAAATGAGCCGCTTTTAATGTTATTATTTAATTTTTACTTCTATATATGCCTTTTTGCTATATCCAAGTTGAGGACTCATTGAAAGAGTTGGACGTTGATGTACCTATACCTAGATTCACTTTCATCAACCATACGCACCTTTACTAGTCTTTCACAGGAGCACCAAGCCTTCCGCTTTGTGGTGATACGTCCAGCAGTCGCATGGCCAGTCCTCATTCTCAGGCATTGGCGATGTATCATAACAGCGATCAACGGAGAGCTCAATATCATGTTGCCACAATTGTTCACTATCATGGCTTCAGCCATCGTCCTTCATAGTCTCCCAGTTATCAAACTCGTCAGAATCGTAAAACGCCGCAAATTGGATAGTACGCAGATTTGGAAGCTGTCCTTTCTTCAGCATTCCAATCAACTCATCTATCCGTAGGCCTTCGTTGTCGAAGTCTTTTAAGAAAAGGGTTTCCAAGCTTGCAGGAAGTAGTCCCCCAGATATGTTGATGGCCGTGTCCTATCCCTTTGGATGGAATATACTTGCGGAGGTTGTTAGATGCTTCAGATGCTCCAGACTGGTGAAATCGGACTAAGGTTTCCTTTCGCAAATATCGAGGTCGAGATACTCTAAAGTATTCGAGGTGCATGTTGCCAAAGCTCGTATGTAAGCTTCTTTACATCGACGTGGATCAAACCCAGGCGGAAAAATGAAATTCCAATCCTTTTTGCCTTTGAAAGTAAACTTTTTGAGGCGATCGACCAATGTGAGAATCTCTCTAAGGGTATTTGATGAAACGTCGCAGTTGAGTAGGGTCAGCTCTTTGAGAGTTGTTTTTTTCAAGGGTGCTCTTGACGCAAATGGCCTCGGGTGTAAGGGGTCAATTTTTGCTTCTTGGATGCAAAGTTCTCAAGAATTTCCATAAAGAATACAATTTCGTTTTCACCCAGGATCCACCAGTCTCTATTGTTACCCTTGAATGCTACTCCCAGATATACTAAGCTAGGTTAATGAATTCACTCACACGTATCAGACGCTACATGAAGACTTACAAGAGCGTAACCTGTGTCCAGCAATCGCAGAGCCTAATCTCATTTCAACAATTTCGCTTCTCGGGACGAAGATGCCTAAGAGCCGGTTGCTTTGCTCCTCTAGGGCACAATCTAAAGGTACGCTTCGTAGTCTCAACGCTTCTAGATTCTTTAGTTCAAATAGAGCATCAAGGAGTGATCGTGGACTTTGTCGATGCGTTCATGGTGGTAATGGACCTGTAGCTCCCCCACAAGGGAAGATAGTGCAGGGCTATTTTGTACCGCTTCTGCAAACTTCTCGCCGGAGTTTGAGTTCCGCAAACATATCGACGAATATAAAATTGGAATGATGATGTTATAAAATCTGCGAGACGTCCGCGCAAGGCTTCGAAGTGAACCTAGGAGTCGTCGAAGATTGTTGAATATAATTTCCAGTAGCTCAGTGGGAAGGTTGTGAAAGAGAGAATCGGTGGTTGTCATGATACGTCTGAGGCCTGCATTCGTAATATATCTGGTCGACACGAGGTCAACGAGACTACTTGATAAAATGATGACAACAGAGTAGAGGACGTGGGGTAGCAGTGGGTTGGGCCATTGCATGAAGGGGCCAATCATAGATCAGGAGGTTGACAAGCCTCGATACTCGTGGCTGCGTGCGTATATACTAGATGCGTATAAAGACCATTAGGGACCATATAATTAGACTTAATGTAGCATAAATGACTCGCACGCATAAAGCAATGTTTGACAGGTAACTGCACAGTATTATATTTCTATTAGATAAATATAAGAAGAAAATGGGCTGTAGCCAGGGAAAAATAATGTACACCTCCACCAGCTAAGCTGTCAAGTGTTCGTTCCGATAATCCGGTTCTTGACTAGATTGATTACTCGAGATCAGCGCATCCGAGAGCGACAGTGCCACCCTATGAATATGTTAATACCGCTTCCACAAAAGGTTTTCTTCAAACTATAGTCATCACGCACCAGGAGGTTGGCCTCAGAGCAGCACTGGGGCGCATTGTCACACTTGTCAGCCTCGTAGGCGTGGCCTGTCATGGGTTAGATTGATTGAGAACCGAACGATGTATCAAGGTAGACATACAGAGAAGACCGATGGATCCAACGACCTCGGCGGCATTAACGCCAAGCTCCTCAAGGATGGGGTCGACAGTGGAGTCGAGAGGGGTGGTCAGGGTACCACAGCAGAGGATAGGCTTGATACACTTGGAGCCGCGTTGCATCAGGCCACCATCCTGGGGCATAGCGGAAACCATGCCGGCACCGACGAGGGAGAGGACGGAGAGGACGGAGAATCTCATTTTGATGGATTGGTTGGTTGGTGGTTTGGAGAAGAGAAAGGATGTTCTTCGTAAAAGATTGAAAGCTGTAGTTGTGAGTGATGTTCAAAGCTATGGAATATTTGATCCTTATATAGATTTTGCAGTGGTATACCTAGGGCATCAATTGCTTCCGAGCTTCTCCTATTTCGCAAAATTGGGTATTGTCATCACCGAGCACAGATACTTGGAATAACCGGTTGTGAGCTGTAGACAATGGACTCTCCGTGTCATCGGCCTAAAGGATCTACAAAACTCTAGATAGCAGTTGGTGCCCATTGAGGCAACCTAAGAGCTGCGACCACGGACCGAGGCGCAAAAATGCAGGAACAGTAGGTACCGGAAGCGTAGACCGGTTCCATAGATTGAGTTGACAATGTATAAGTTTCCGTGAACTCTACACGAGTTTCTTGGCTGTCGATCATTCTTGGCTGCTCAATTGTCATTAAACTGCCGATATCACTGGTTCCAAGGTCATGTAGGGACGAAATAGCCAGCGGGTCTCCGGTTCTTTCTCTCCATCAGTTCTCCGGGAGCCCCTATCAGTGGATCCGAATATCAAGATGATCTGCGTCGGGTCAAACTCACAATGTCGATCCGACGTAAGGTACAGGAACAGTGCATTGTTCGACCTATTAAAAGCAAAGTCAACTGATAATAGGCCAAGCAAATATGAACTGCTTACGATCCCTGTTGTGTGCATAATTTGTCATGGCGCGTGATGCGGTTGGAACCGAAAGGAGCGAAAAGGAGCCGGAGATAAGCCTGAAGTCGTTGATTGAACACCGACCAGAGCATTGGAAGTCCCACAGGACTTGGTAACATTCGATCTACCATAGTCAATGTCGATTACTGTATAAGCGAGGCTCCATATTCTTGGCCTCATCTTGGCTTCACTTCGTTGTCATCATGGAGATAAGTGCCTGCTGAAACAGTTACGTGAACAGAATGTAGATATCGCCTGTCCCCCTTCTGCCTGCATTTTGAGTCGATCATGTCTTGGTTAATCCTTGGGATCAATAATTGACGATAATCATCAACCTCATGCACCGAGGAATGTGGTCGGTGAGAAGATAAGCTCATGGGCAGTTGCAAGTCCAGCCATTTTTGGTAAAGTATCACTCATGGGTCGGAAATACAGTATCTCATGGCCATTTCTGAGTGAACAGGGGCATAAACAGAATGGCCTGCTCGCCAGCAAAATGAAGACGAAGCCAAAAAGATGGCCGTCAATATGGACAGATGTGGCGGTGTTGCCCAGGTGTGGCGCTCTTGTACACACCGCCACAGCCTCGCGACACAAAAAACTTCCCTCAATTAATCTCCACATTGACAGTTCGACCAACCAACCTCTCTTCCTTTTTGATTTTTTTGAGTATTTGCCCAGCGCATAATACTCTATCATAATCAAAATGGCTCCCACTTCTATCGCCGATTTGGTGGCCGCCCTCCCTGCGGAGGACTGCTGGGGCCCCTCCACCTCTGCCGACAACATGCTCTCGGGCGTGCCTTACGCTCCTTTCTCCAAGGGCGACAAGCTCGGCCGTATGGCTGACTGGACTGCTGAATCCAAGGAGCGCCAGAACCAGCGTCCTCAATACAACCGCGGTTTCAGAGGTATGTCCTTTGACGGCTTTTTTTTTCTGCCCCTCTGCCATTGTTGAACATCAGCTAACTCGTTGAATAGACCAGCAGGCCTACGGTGCCGGTGCCACCAACCTGTTCAGTGTTGCTACCGCCGAGGACGAGTCCTCCTTCTCCGTCGTTGACAACACCCGCACCCAGAAGCGCACTTTCGGTCGTGGCGGTGGCACTGTTTTCCGTGGCCGTGGTGGCCAGCGTGGTGCTATGAACCAGCGCGGTGGACGCGGTGGTTTCCAGCGTGTCGGTGCCGCTGGTCGTGGCCAGCAAGGTGGCTACTACGACAGCCGCGGCGGCCGTGGTGGCCGTGGTGGCCGTCGTTTCGGCTGGAGAGACTACGACAAGCCCCAGCGCATCCGTGAGCCCTCCGTCAACATCCGTCCCGACTGGACCATGCTCGAGGAAGTCGACTTCAGCCGTCTGTCCAAGCTGAACCTCGATGCCCCCGAGGGTGAGGACCTCGACTCTTACGGTTTCCTCCACTACTACGACAAGTCCTACGACAGAGCCCCTGTTAAGAACGCCGAGCGCAGAATCCAGGCCCTCGACCGTGCCGCCTACAACGTCACCACCTCCCAGGATCCCGTCATCAACGAGCTGGCCGAGAAGAACGCCGCTACCGTCTTCGCTACCTCCGATATCCTCTCCATGCTGATGTGCGCCACCCGCAGCGTTTACTCCTGGGACATCGTCATCGTCCACCAGGGCGACAAGATCTACTTCGACAAGCGCGACGGTGCCTCCTTCGACCTCGTCAGCGTCAACGAAAACGCCGTCGACGCCCCTCTCGAGGTCGCCGAGGCCGCCGGCAAGCAGGAGCAGATCAACACCCCAGGCGCCCTGGCCATGGAAGCAACCATCATCAACCACAACTTCGCCCTGCAGACCCTGATTGAGTCCGAGCAGCAGAAGGTCTCCTTCGCCAAGCCCAACCCCTTCTACGACGAGGCCGAGGAAACCGAGCCCCTTGCCTCAAAGGGCTACAAGTACCGCCGCTTCGACATCTCCCTGGAGCGCGACGAAGAGCCCGTCTCCATGATCGTCCGTACCGAGGTCGACGCCGTCATGAAGGGCGGCCCCACCGGCTCAGAGGACCAGCAGTTGACCATCAAGGCCCTGAACGAGTTCGACCCCAAGGCCCAGGGCTCCGGCGGTGCCCTGGACTGGCGCAGCAAGCTGGTCTCGCAGCGCGGTGCCGTCCTCGCCACCGAAATGAAGAACAACTCCTCCAAGCTCGCTCGCTGGACTACCCAGGCTATCCTGGCCAAGGCCGACGGCATGAAACTGGGTTTCGTTTCCCGTGTTAACCCCCGCTCCGCAGCTTCCCACGTCGTCCTGGGTGTTGTCGGCTACAAGCCTAAGGAGTTCGCAACCCAGATGAACTTGAACCTCGGTAACGGTTGGGGTATTGTTCGTACTATTGTTGACCGTATTCGCACGCTTGACTCTGATGAGCCTGCTGATAAGGTTAAGAAGTACGTTCTGATCAAGGACCCTAACAAGTCGGTCCTCCGTCTCTACAGTGTCCCTCCCACTACCTTTGAGGAGGATGATGAGGCTGAGGTTGAGGTTGAGCAGTCTGATGAGAAGTCTGATGATGAGTAAACTTTTGGATGACTTATGTTGTTGAATGTGCATACGTACTCTACCTAAAATTTGATTTATATTGCTTGCTTCACTTTACTAAACGTTACATCTACGTCCAATAGAATGAGAAGTTCATTACTATCATTCCATACTACGTCAACAAGACCATTAAAATCCCCGAAATACATGTACATACCCCTATCCACCAAAAGCTAAGGTATCAATCATAGGTACACATAGAATCTGAGGACCTGTGAAATTGACGCCGAAAATGACCGCATTGGAGGCCAGAGGGCCGCCTAGGTATTAGGAATTGCGCGTGATTTGAGATGAAGAGTATTGTCTGGCCAATAATATTTAATGAACACACTACTTCCTTCACTCTATTTACAAACTCAATCTTTCGTCTTGTTCCACACAGACAGAATTTGTACATGGCGAAGAAGCCAAAAGTCAATTTAACATTACAACATGCAGTGCAATTGCACTTTGTATAACCACTTCTCTCCAAACTCGGGTTCCACAATCGAGCTACCTTTGTACTCCGTACCAGTTAACCCCTGCATCTAATTTCCTCGGATCGTTTATGTTTTATGGCTTGTTCCTGATTATGCATGTTACAGGGATTGATGCAGCCACGGAGGCTAAGAGGCGCAGAGTAGGTTATTGGTTGGTGGCTTAATGTACTTAATGTACTTAGGTGAGGTTAGGGTTACATATGTACCTAGGTAGTTCTGTCGTTGTATGTAAGAGGTGGGATGTTTAGTGTTGAAGATATAAAAGTTAGTATGATAGTATCATTGGTAGCCACCAGGGTGACCAATTGACGGGACAGATCAGATATGAGGAGCAAACACAGAAGAATGAAAGCAAAAATAAGGGTAGACACTCTTGAGGGTCGAGGTACACGATCGCGTAGGGCAATGTTCACTTTATATACAACCCGCTCAACGAGTGAGTGTCGAAGAGAAGGAGATGGAAGGAAGCGGGGCAGAGAAAATGTAAAGTAGAGAAGATAATTCAGACAGTTCACAATCGCAGCCAAAGTGAAATCAGGTCAAGTCAACGTCGAAGCCAGACCAAACTGCAAACAAAGCTCCGAAACACTCCATAATAAAGGAAATCACAATTTTCAGGCATAATATCATAATCGTTCTTCGTTGCTTGAATCGCCAATTGCTTAGCCATACATCGACTCATCGGCTGTGCCAGACATGCCGAGATCGACCTTGGTGCCGAGAACACTGCTCAGACAATCAATCAACTCAAAATCCTCGACAACTGCGCCGAAGCCGTAGCAGCGGACTTTAGTGTTGAGGGTATCTATGATGATCTTGACGTCTTCGCGGCGGAGGGTAGTGTACAACTCGTGGTTCTTAAGGCATTGTAGGGCCATAATGGGTGTAATTTGGCCATCGGTGACGAGCTGGCGACTGAGGTTGAGGAGAGTGCTTAAGTTTGCATGCGGGAGGTCGGGGGCTTTGTGGGGGTATGGTTGTTCGTGGGTTGTTTTGGCGATGTAGCTCGGTGGTGGGCATGTTGCCATCAGAGCATGGCCTGAGAACGGCATATCCTCGTCATCGGCTTCTGTGACTGAACGGCGGCAGAGGTAGTCTGTGTGTTCGCGGCAAGGGCCTTCGAGGCTGTGGGTAGGGTGGTTAGTGTCTTTGTTTGTCAGGCTGGGCTGGAGGACATACGTTAGGATAAAGTCAACCTGTAGTTGCGGGTCACTTTCGAAGACACCGCTTATACGAGGCATGGGCTGCACGGAATCGACTGGTGCGCATGACGACCGATCCATACCCATGGGTTGCGCGCCTGGGCTGGTCTGATATACTTGCTGTTGAGGCGCATACCCGATTGGAGGCGACACCTCGGGGTGGGAGTGATCGGCGGTATTGTGAAGCGGGCTCATGCCAGAGGATGATATCGTGGTGGCAGGCGTCGTGTTGTGGTTGCTGGCCGAGTGAGTGAAGCCTGCAATCTGCGATGCGGATGCAGTGCTGCTGCCACCAACAGGACTAGATTGGTAGCCGACCATCGGGGGCCGCTCCGCTCGACGGCGCTCCAGATCGGCTTCGTATTGGATTCCATGTGCGGCTAAGATCTCTCGCAAGATTTCATTCTCGTCCCGGATTGCATGAATGATCTCTCGTTGCTGCTGGGCATTCGCATTGGCCTCGGCGATCTCGGTGGTGTATGCCTCCTTCAACCGCAACACTTCCGTCTCCAAATTCCGCATATATTGCTCCTTTCGTTCGCGATGCGTCCTAGGGCAATCAGTCCTGGTCTGTGGAATGGAAAAATCCGGGGTGTGTACCTCTGAGCCTGGCGGTTCAGCTCTTGTCGCCTGGTCAATGCAGGCTTGCTATCCGGCTTGGGTCCACGGCGTTTGGGCATTTGGCCATCTAGAAAGGTTGAGCGGGGTCCGGTTGTGCGAGACAGATGGAGATCAATCACCTCGGGTTGTTTTCTTGGGAGCTTGCTGCTGTCCTCCTCCTCCACCGAACATCTTGAACAACTCCGTACCGAAACCTTTAGATGATGGGGTGGACGGTTCCTCTGTGATCAGCTGCACCGTACACTCCGGGGCCAAGGACCTAGCCGGAGATGCAACGGCGCATAAAAGTCAGTGTCAAGGTCACAAATCGTGGGGAAGTAAATGGATTGGGTGGCTGTTGATAAGGCCCGGGCCAACGGTCGGGAAAGCCACAATCCAATCTGGATAGCTTGGGTGGCGAGACTCGGGGAACCCCCGTTGAGCTTGACTCCGGGGTTTCCGAGCTCCGCCAGAGTCACCAGCCAGCGCGATAATCGAGACATCGTGGGCAATTGCGACTGTCTGCTCGATCCGCTGAGATCGAGGAGAGCTGTGACCAAGCGTTCCCCGATCGCAAAACACGGGCCATTTTCATTGAGAAAAATCAGGCTACACCAACTGAAAAGCGCTTGGAGACCACACGGAAAGCAGATTGGAGACGAGATTGACCAGCAGATCGAATAGCAGAGATGGGCTCACCAAACAGACACCAGGGCATGGAAAATTGCACTTACCATACTGTATGGAGTGGTCCATCGGGTAGACCCCACCGGCCATGATGAAGGGATAGGCAAGGAGAATGTGACAGTGAGAATAGAGCGGATATCGCGTATGAAGGGGAAGAGTTGAGAGAGGTGAAGAAGAGAAGTGGGAAGTGGATGTGATAAGTACGGAGGACAATGCTCGTATAGGTAGATGGATCTTCACTTATTTTACAGTACAAACGAATTATGCAAAGGCGTTTCGATCTATCTCCACAAGTGGTATCCTCCCACTACAGACTAAATTCTACTTACAGACTAATAACCCCCAATTGCAAGTCTTAAAAGGCGTTGGGGGTGGGCAGTTACCCGGATGGTACCTCGCTCTACCGTCTGATCACAGCGACCGAGGAAGTACCTGGAAAGTACCCGGTTCAACCTTGTGATGAGTCCAAAGGCTCCTCCAATCACCCTACCACATCTCCCAATGGTTCTGGGGGAACGGAGCATTTGGAACTCTGACAAATACTCTGCCAAACTTGCAGAGACCGACAGGGACTGATCGCCTCTAGTCCTCTATATGTCCAATGGATGAAATTCTCGTTCATGTCACGGCCCCCAGTTCCGTGCGAGACGACGCACGCTACCGGGCCCAAGTGGCCGCCATCCTGAGCTTCCAATGTGCCTCGCGCCACCCAATCTCAGGCACGGAGGCAGATATCAGGGATCATCACTCGCATCAAGTATCCGCCTCGGATCTCCTCCCTAAGTCCCCTAAGTCAATTTCCCAACACGAGGCCTCCCCGATATTGCGGGAGGCGTCCCGGCCCGCATTGGAGATATTCCCAGATCGTCACTCGGTCCCCGAAAGTGAGCGTGACAATGATCTACAAAACCCGGGCGATCATCACGTCCCTGGTCGAGACTTCGACTCGCTCGAGAGTCTCATCAGCGTGATTCCAGATTCTCAGCCCGAGATCGTCGCTCCAGATCCAGAACCCGATGAACTATTAGGCTCGGGCCCGGCTTTTGCAGAAATATTGTCTCCGCTGCAGGCTTACCCACTCTCCAAAAGGCGTTGCATACAGCCACAGACTCAGACACAGACACAGACCCTTCCTGTACAGGACCATGTTGCGCAAGTCTATGTCTCTCCTGCAGCTGAATCTGATATCACACGTCGGGATTCCCACTCTGCAACGGATCCGCCCGCTGATATCGATATCCACCCTGTGCAACATGTACATGTCGCCACAGGAGATGCTCTCAATCCCATTCCTATATCGAGTTCGATTGAGGAGTCGACTTGCGACGAGAGCAATGATTCCCCTATACTGACCCCTGTTATTCCACATCCAAAACCCCTGACTCTCACATCCACTGCCACTACTACTACCACTACCACTACCACTACTCCTTCCACTACCACTCCCCCTCTCCATCATCCTCCCACCGTCAACCTCACAACCCTCCCTCTTGAAATCCACGCCCCCCAACCTCCAATCTCAACAGCCCCCTTCACAACACATATAACACCAACCCTACGCATGCTCACGGACCGTCTCAGGCCAGAGCGTACTTATAAACCAACCCATCAAACAAGGGATCTAGATCCCCTGGAACGCGGGCATTGGTTTATACAGTTCAACATTGAGTCGCCCCAAACCCAACGCTCAAGCACAACCTCAAAAGAACAAGAACGAGAACGAGAACGAGAACCAGAAAAGCGAAAAGAAAAAGAGGAAACCTGGCCCTTCCCCTCCTTCCACACATTCTGGACCTTCCTCACAGACTTCATCTCAAAAGATGGTCGAGCAGGCTGGGGCGTATGGTGTATACTAGAACGATCTCCTCCGGCGAGTGAAGGTGAATCGACAATTCCACCGAACTCGGACATGACAGAGTCTATAGCTGTCTCCGTCCCTGTTTCACTGAAGGTATATGCGTGGGGCGAAGTCGCCATGCATATTTACCTGCTTCTGTTTCTTGCTAGTGAGCGAAGGATTCGGGGGATGGGGGTTCAGTGGAGGGATGCTGGGGAGGATGTTGTTATTCAGATGCCCTAGGTTATGAGTATCCGGTGTCTTATGTACTATTATAATGAATTTTAGCTTGGGTTAGCATCTTGGAAGAGGTTGCTAGATGGGGCTTGTATAAATTATACCCACTATTTTTATGACAGCAGACACCTAATGTTGGAAAGGATTTCTGATATCTGGATCTTCAATTTCTGATTTTGAAAATAGGGATATTGTACATGCTAAAGATAAAGAAGACAAGAAAAGCCCGACGGGGAAGAAGTGATAAACAACAAAAAAGAAATGGTAAAAGCAAACCTCACAGATTGAGGAAGCCATGGAAATCAGTAATAAGCAAGTCGGGGCCATCACCCTCCAGCCATCCTGCCTATGCGCCGTATCGCCAGTTGAAGGATTGAAAAAGAGAACTAAAGGAGAAAAGGGAGAGGGTAAACAAAACAAGAGAATGGATAAGATCGGGAGTGGTAGATGTCAAGATTGATCTAGTAGTTCAACTCGCCGCTGCCGGAGGCGTCGACTGCGTCGAGATCCTCATAGCTCTTCAAGCTGCGGCCTTGGACGGCTTCGCGGGGTGGCATGGGTCCGCCGTTCGAGCCCATCGAGTCTGGGAATGGGTTTGGCGGGACCATGTTGGCGGCGGGGTGGCCGGCTGGGACTATGGCCGGGCGACCACCGTACATGCCGGACATGCCGCGGGGAGGGCTCAATCTGCCGTTGCCGTTGAATCGGCGACGGTCGTAGGGACCTGGACGGTTGTGACGGTGTTGGCCACGGCGCATAACCCCTGGCTGGTGCAGACCGTGGCTGTCATGGCCCATTGCATTGGTGTTCCAGCCAGCACCCATCATAGGCATGCTACCTGCGGGGAAGTTGGCCATGCTGTTGTTGGACATGTAAGGCATGCCGGAGAGGCTGAAGCCACGAGGAGTACCGGCCTGGTTGTGGCCAGGAAGGGGGAAATGACCGTTGCTATTGGCGTCGGATCGAGATGGAGCAATGCGTGATGGGTCCAGGACGTAAGCGTTTACAAGTGCAAGCTGATATCAGGTTAGTATGAAGGATGTCATGGACATGCTGTGAATACTTACATCGTTTTTGATACCTTCGAACCATTCGGTGTGACGCTTCTCAATATGCTTGCGCCAAAATTCCTGGGCTTTGAAAAGCTTAGTGCACTCTGGTGCCTTGCAACGGAACTTGGAGTCATCTTCCTGCTTCATATACTTAAGGAGTTCATCTTCAAGCGCTTCTTCCACGGGCTTGCCACCCAGTTTGGCAAGATCAGCGTTCTCGGGTTCTAGGATCTGCAACAGCTTGTCCTCAAAAGTCTTTACCCAGTTGAAGGCACGTTGCAACTGTTGTTCCGACTTAGAACCGTGCCGCTGAGATCGCTTCTCCTGAACGGGAGAAGAGGGGTCCTCTCCTTCCTCGCTAGGTTCTTTTCTCTTGACAGGGAACGGCTGACCAAGAGCACTTGCTCGGGCAACCTCCCTAGCCTGGGTGGAAAGACCAGTACGTGGACGACGAAGATGTCCTCCAGGGCACTTGCGGCTGAGCTCATGAACCGAATCACTCTCGAAAACACAGAAGAAGCAGAAGTTGTAGACGCGGCGGAGGTATTCGACAAGCAGGTCCAGCGTCTTTTTCTTTGCTGTCAAGTCCTCGTCATCAACCTCTTCCTCGGCAGGAGGTTCCTTCTCTTCGCCTTCTTCGACCTCTTCCTGGTCTGAGTGTTTCACGCTGACTGGTCCAGTAGCAGGAGCCTGGAGCTCGCCCTTGCCACGCAAATTCTCGACATATTCCTCGACCTTGCTGAGCCCGTCCACGTTGCCCATTTCAAGGTCCAACTTGGAAACCAACCGTCTGGCCATTTCAAGGTCACGCTCAACTCGCTCGGGTGCAGAGAATAAATCCCACAGAGCTTTCTTGCGTGGTTGCAACGCGGGAACATGGATACCGACATGGCAGACAAAGTCGCCGTGAACAGCATCGTGAATCGTCTTGTCATTTACGGCTTCAAGAGCTCTCTCAGCAACGGGGCCTGTAGCTCCATTGGCACCTGCATCCTGATCCATATCCTCGCGCTCCTCCTCGCGTCCATCTCCTCGCTCCACGACCGTGGTGTTGGCAGAGGGATGTAACATGATCCATCCCATACGATGGAACTTCTTGGAGGGGTTTGGATCGCTCAGGCTGAGGCCCTTGAAGCCACCATCCTCCTCCCCGAGATGCTCCTTGCAGAATTCCTCGATCTTAGTACGGCTGACGTTCGGCGCAAGTGTCTTGATAAGAAGGGCAGGCTGAGAGAGCGCTTCGTCACGAAGCTCTCCACCACGGACTGGAAGCAGATCCAGGACACCCATGTTTTCAGTGGGAGCCGTTGTTTCGCCTTCTTCCTTCTCAACCACACCTCCGGCACCATCGCTGTCATTCTTGTAAAGACCTTCAAGTGTGAAGTCTCTGAAAACATCGTTCTCCATATCCCTCTGCCACTGCTCATATGCAGCCTGGCGAAGAGGGAAGAGACGAGCACGAAGGGCATCACGAATCTCGGGAACATAGCGCTCTTTGAACCATTCTTCGTTGCGGTGCTGTTGAACAAACAACCTGGCCAATCGGACCTGCAGATCAACCTTGTATGAATCATAAGCCGCCTGGATTTGCGCACGTTCCTTCTCGCGATCCTCGCGTGCCTCACGCTCTCCTCGAACCCGACGTCCACCACTTTGAACACGCTCCCTCTCCTCGGTCACATTTTGCTCGGCTCTCCACCATTCGGCAAACCAATTGAATCCCACTTGGAAATCAAGGCTGAGAGGGTTTGGCATCGGGTTGGTAGGAAGGGGGCGCTTTCCGCCATCTTGTCCAGGAACATAACGGTCAATGTTGGCCGCCATTGGGGAAGGGGGACGTCGGCGGTCTTCGCGCTCACGGGCCGCACTTTCACGAGAGCCATTGTAGAAGTCCTCGCGGTGAGTACGACGGTCCGAAGGTTCATAGCGATCAATCACAGGAGAGCGGGAGCGCGGACGGGGGCGTCGACGATCCTGGGATGCTGCTTCATTGTCAACTTCCACATGTCTTCGAACAACACGCTTGTCTCTTACCTGGAGAACGACGTCTGTAAGAATCCCCAGGGGTGCGTCCCGAGAAGGAGTCAACCTCGCGGCTTCTGCCGGGGGAAGCGAAACCATCATAAGAATCCATTGTTCCGAAGCTTCCGGTGTTATCTTCCAAAGTACGCGCCTTGGCCACAAGTATTGGTCCAAGACTGACTCTGGATGAATAGACAGGCACGGAGCAGTCTCAAGCGATCGATCCGAAAGGAGGGAGGGAGGAGCCGCGCAATAAGCTAAGATTCGGTATCGTCAACGTTAGACCAAGCAACTTCATACGAGATAGCGGTGGCGGCTAGAAAGTTCAAGGATAACAGAGGCATTGTGTTCGGGAAATAGATGAAAGAAGGTCACGCAGCTGCCGGAATGAGGGTCCCAGGGAAGGTGACGTTGGGGACATCGTGCAGCAGGTGTATGGGGTATAAAAGAGATAAATTGAAGGAGCTCGCAAGAGCCATATCAAGCAGTCAAAGATGCGTATAAGAGGAGCCAACAAGCGCAGCGGTGGCAAGAAAGTGGAAGGGGATAAAGCAGGGATAGAAAAGAGACTGGGGGAGAAAGCCAAATTGAAAGAGAAGAGGGCCACCTACAAGAAGCCTGCGAAAACGCGATTGATGAGAGAAGAAGAAGCCGAGGAGGTGAACAGAGCTGGAGAGAGCTTGGCGCTTTGCCCAAAGAGGTAAGGCGTGACGGGGATGACTGGCAGATGCTGATTGGCTGGTTGCGGGTAGGAACAAATCGGGTTAGCAATGTCAATATTCCAGTTGTGAATCGGAGAGAGAAAGAAGGTGAAAACATGGATGAGTGATTCTCTGCGGAATCGTTAGAGGATTATCGCGGGATAGCGGAGCTACGAGCGAAATAAGAAAGTACCGTGAAGACGATGTATAGATTGCGGAAACTTGTGGTAGAACAGGGATGCGTACGTATCTACAATTCTCCTAGCATGGGGATACCGTTTGCAGAGCCACTCCTGTTGACAAACAGAAGGGGAGAGTTATAGACCCGGTTCCCTACTTGGATACCTCAGTACGGTTAAGAAGCTCTTTGTCCTAGGAAATTACATAGGTCGTATGCCAATAGGCATGATCTATAACTAGGGTTGACAGCAATCATGTGGGTTGCGAACCATTACAACTTGATGAGAGTAACGCGTCAATTATGCATTTGAGATATCAACTCTAATAATGACGCGGTTGTTTACTTGGCTGTATCTTCAAATATTTGATGTCAACGCTATAGATGATCAATTGCTTGCTTCCTTGAAATTTGTCGTTCCTTTCCTCCCTTTTCTGGTTGGTACACAAAAAGGCCAGTTTATATCAATAAGGGATATGAAATAGTCAGATTGAACGATACTAATTGGCATGGCATGATTGCCTCTGCGATCTGGCCTCCTTTGTTTGCTTGTCCTAGTTAATCCATCCAGTAGGACTATTTAGTCTGCTGCTCCTCCACTGAGAATTATTATCATCTTCTCCCTCTCTCCTCCATAGGAGCCATTTGCCCATCAAGGGTATTTATCCGTCATGGCAGGCGTTAAGCGCATTGCCTATTTATAGACCCTGAAAACATCGTCATAACCCCAACATCCGCCTTTCTTTGTTTCAGCAGCTATAGCACAAGACACGACAAGAGCATATACAAAGTACAATCCACATGTCCACTCTCGTGCACAATTATCATTAAACGACTCGCAACAAACCAAGACAATCCCGCAAAGTCGCCTCATCCCTACTCCATATACTCCCCTCTATATCCATGAAACCCAACCGAGCCCGTTGATTGGCTCAAACTTACCCACTCGCATCACCACCACCACAGCCAACACCACTCACCCAATCCAATCTTATCCCAGAAACAATGGGCAGTCTACTCAATTCCCGCTGGGCCCCAAACACAACCCAGCCAAATGAAAGATACCAACCCCGGCACACATTCACCAATATCCACAATGTCCACAATCACAGGACAAGAAGCTCCAGCCCGGCATTCACACCACCATCATATCGACCACCTCCACATCAACAAGGAACCCTCTTATCACCAGCAGAAGAGTTATCTCGCTTCATGAAAATTGTCGCAAGACTCCGCTGGAAACTTCCCTTCCTGGCCGAAGGCTACAGACTAGCAACGCTGACCGATGCCGTTGAACCGGGTGAAGTCGTGCACGCGGAGATAATGTTCAAGATTGATTTCCATGAGTACTATGCGCTTCTTGAGCGTGCTATTGTGCATTTGCTTGCTGTTTTTAATATTTCTGTTTCGGCGGGGAGGGGCGGGGGCGTTAGTGTTGATGGCAATGGGCGCGGTGGTAGTGTCCATCGGTATCATGCCAATGTCCTTGAAGCATTACGGGAACAGTCTACGCCTTTATCTCCGGTTCTTGGGAGCGGAGTTGTTTATTCGCAGTTGCAGCGCGCGAAGGAGTTAAGGAATCGGTGGAAGACGGCTGATTTGACTGCTGAGGAGAGGGAGCGGCAGGGGGAGCGGAAGGAGGTTGTTGCGCTGGCTAGTTTTGATTTTGAGGGGATTCTTTCAGATATATTTCTGGGCTTGGAGGAATCTTATGTGCGTGCTAAGGACCATGTTGATAAATGTATTCGGCCGGATGATGGGCCTGGGGTGGAGGCTGATGAGGAGGATGGGTGGGGATTTATGGTTGATGCTATGGACTGGGAAGCTGTTTGAAGGGTTAGTTTGGGTTTATGTAGATACAGTGTGGGCATCGGTTGCTGGCGACTGGTGTTACCTTTGAGTTTGTGTTATCGCTCCGATGATGTGGATTTTGGCATGGAGAATATCCATCCTTCTGAGTTTTGATTAGATACCAAATGCATGATATACATGGACAGTGAACGGATTCCATTGCCCGCCTTCGCTGAATGTATCCAATAATCAGGTCGGAAGTGCTATAATCAAGTAGTAACAGGACTAAACAGTCATGGACGACCAAGATAAGGGTAAATACTCAGACACGGAACATATGGCACAGTAGTAACCTATATTCACATCGAACTCAGTCTTATAGATCTACAACCCAACATCCACCCAACCAAACCAAAATCAAGGCTAAGAAAAGAAAGCAACAATATTCAAATTCAGAATGATATTCTTAGCACGAATCAGTCGCAGATCCAGACCAGTCCAATTCCAGTTCCAGTCTTTCGAAACCCGATTTCCCGATACCGATACCGATCTGTTTTTCCAGTGATGGAGGCCCTCTCTAATATTTCCCAGCCGGAGAGAAAGGAAATGAAACCCAATAAACCCGCAACACGAGACACCAATAAGTGAAAAAAGATAGATAAAAGACCGGGGTATGTTGACAATCCACGCGTCAAAGGTAGATCCTGGAGATGGGAGTATGCGAAAGTAGATAATAGAAAAGAGGAATGACAATCGGGAACCGTTGAGACTGGTGGACATTTGTTAGGGGTTGTAGTTGATATACAGGGAAGCCCTATAGTAGTGGATAGTTGACATCCCATACTAGAACAGACCAGACCCAATCAACAATTTCGTAACGCGTCAACAGTGAATAGTTGATATCGATTCGGATGCTTGAAGTCATTCTTGTCTTGTACACGGCACCTCCAGCCTGAGGGGAGCCATCATCGAAGGGGGAATACGAACAAAAAAACAAAACCAAAAACCAATCGGACAAGAGGGGAATGAGAAGAGAATAATCGTCCCAGCGTAGCGGTTATAAACAGACATCAGGGGCAAATTGTGAGATCAGAAGGGAAAAGGGTAAAAAGCATATCAAGGGGCATAGAGCATAGAAACAGGTGATCCATACACATCGCTCGCTAGAGAAAAGGTCCGAGACATCCATCCATAAAGCCGTGACTACAAATGAAAAACAAAAGAAAAGGTATTCACATCACTGGACTTAGACGTCTAGGTCAGGACGTCTTGTTGGTGATGTGAGAGGTTGACCACTCAACCATCCTCATCCGAAGCGTCAGCAGAGTCTTGCTCACTACCATCAGCGCTGGCGGTCGTCTTCGTCTTCTTGGAGCTCACGACGTCATCATGGACTTCGCTTGACTTGCGCTTCTGTCCGGCGCCGTTCGCTTTCGCCAGGTCCTTGCTGATATCCTCAAAAGTGGCAGGTTCGCCAGCCTCCACGCGCTTCTCCATGGCGGCAACTTCATCTGCTGTCAAGAAACGGCCACCGGGCCCACGGGGTCGGCGCATGGCATGGTTGTGTCGTGACTCGTGGAGATAAGGCTTGCGACCCTTGGACGTCAAGCGCAATTGCTCTTCGAGCTTTTGGCGTGCTACTCTGCGCTTCAAGATGCGGTGGAATTGCTTGGCGTTGACGTACAAAGGCGACTCTTCCTGGTTGCTATTCGGGACCATGTCAGGGGAGGCCTGGTTCTGTACGGCTGTCTGGGGTAGCGGGGGTGCGATGGAGGGTCGGCCGACGTGACTCATCACCTGTGCGTTGGGGGCATTGGGGCTGCCGACATGGCTCATGCGACGTTGCGATAGCTGTTGGTTCGGCGGCATCTGGACATGTGATCCCATTGGGGGCATCTGACCGCCCATCTGGGGAGACCGGGGATTACGATCCTGTTTCATCTGCATGCTAGCCATGCGCGGTGAGCCTCGGGGTCCTGGCGCCATCTGTCCGGCCATGGAATCCTGATGCATGGGGTAGAACTGTCCCGAGGCAGCAGCGGTGGCCATGGCGGCGGCCTGCGTTGGTGAGATGCCATAGCCCTGGGGCATAGCCGTAGGGACACCATAGCCCTGAGGGAAGTTCATCTGTTGGTGAACGGCCCCGGATGCATTCTGTGCTTGTTGATAATGCGGTTGCGATGGGACGATGGGAGAGGTCTGGTGGGCGGAGTGTGGTTGAATAGGTGCCTGGGCGTTGGTAGGCGATGCCATGGACCCGACAGGAGGACCAGCGTTGGGCGCGCCGGTTTGGTAAGGACCAGGGATGTGAGAGGATGCGTGGGGATGTTGCCCATGGGACTGTTGATACTGTGGGGGATACTCCATTATGACAGAATGTGATAGATTCACACGGCGTGCAGCACTGTTTCAGAGATCGATCTAAAGTGGCAATTGATTGAAGTCACCAATCAGACCGAGCAGATTGAGTTAGAGTCGCACGTCAAGACGGATCAAGGTTGACGGGGACGTTTGTTTGGTGTAGAGCGATATCGCGGGGCGCGCAATGAGGGAGTCACCACAAGCGTAAGGCTATGCGGCTAGTGATTCGACGATAGGTCTGCAGGGGGTCTTCGCGTCAGCCGAGCGCATCGCCGAGCGGTCACTGGATTGGGTGGGGGTATGGAGAAGAACA